ATATATATATGAAAAACTCAGCCGAACACATCTAGTAAATCGCAAGGATCTTTATACTGTATAGATTAAATTCTATTTACAGAAAACCAAAAAGCAAAGGTCGATTCTGACTCAGAGTGATCCTATCAGGCAGGGTAGGTCTGAGGCTGTGAACCTTAATGGGAGCACAAAGCCTCATCTTTCCCTTCGGAACAGCTCATGTGTTCCAATCTTGCTATCAAGACCTCAATATGTAACCCAGTATGCCACCAAACCAAATTAACACACAAACAAAAAACAAGCAAACTCACTGCAATTGAATCCATTCTGACCCACAGCAATGACAGGACAGAACAGACCTGTCACTTTGGGTTTTCAAGAGCCTAACTCTTTAGGAAAGTCTCCTCTTTCTCCCTGGAGCTTCTGGGGGTTTCCGACAGTCACGACATGCCAGGCTCCATAAATACATAAAAGATTGCTAAATTGTCATCGAGCCACAGCACTCCAAACTCACTGCCGCCAAGTCCAGTCCCAGTCATCGTGACAGACAGGCAAGAGCGAGCTGCCCTGTGGGTTTCCAAGTCGGTAAGGTACCTGAGCTCAGAGTGGCTCATGTTTCGGAACTGCTGCTCCTGAGGCCGGAGCCCGACACCCGCAGGGCTCCTTTAGAGCAACAAGAGTTCCTCAATACAGGCAGAGAGCTGGAATACTTGGAAAGAACCTTTCTTATAAATATTTAGCTACGTTTATCATAAAAACCACTTTTATCATAAGAAGTGAGCACATGGTGCAGGACTGGGCAGTGTTTCATTCTGATGTGCAGCAATCATAACAATTTAACCTGTATTTAACATAAAAATGCAAAAGTAACATGCATGTTAATGATGATACTCAATTTACCTTTAATTCCTTCACTTAGAAAAGAATATTGAGCATGAAATCTGTGAATAATTGGAACTAATGAATTACATCAGCTAAAAATATCAGTTCACAATTTGGTGCATCATAAATTGAAACAATATACGTTAAACGAAAGCGCCATCCTAAATAATGTTGATGAAATAACATTAGAAATGAAACATCTCTACCAGGAAATTAGTTTACCTTATTCAAATTGCTTCTTGCAGTCTTCAATTCTAAATCCAGAGTGCTCAGAGTGTGTTCAAGTTGCTGTTTCACCTTAACCTCATTATTATATTCCTCTTCTTTTTGCTTCAACTGAACTTTAGTTACTTCAAATAATATATCAGCATTTCTTCTCTTCTCTTCTTCTTGGGCTAAGGCAAATCTGCATACAGACATGTTTATCTTAAAATTCAATTTGTGCTCTGGTTACATATATGTCTTGGTTTATTATATACAGTTAATAAAATCTGCTTTTGAAATTGTTCTTTCCAAATTGTACTTTCTCATTTCAGTCTCTTCCAAAATTAACATTCTGTCCATTAGTAAAAGTGTTATTATAAGTAGCACATAAATAATTTTTAGATTATCAGAAAAACTAGGGTTGACTGTGATAGTCTTTGATTACTGTACAAAGGCTTAGGGCTAGAAATGAAAAAGGAAGAGTACACCGGCCTACCTGAAACCGAAAGAACGGAAGAACACTTCAAGCCTTGAGTTACTATCTTGGAAGATATTATGGGCAAAATACTGAATGATGCAGGAAGCATCAGGAAAAGATGGAAATGTCCCTGTACCCCAAAGAACGAGTTAACATTCCACCATTGCAAGAAGTAGCATATGAGCAAAATCCAATGGTACTGAAGGAAGAAATCTAAGCTGCACTGAAGGCACTATTCAAAAACGAGGCTCTAGGACTTGATGGAATACCAACTGAAATGTTTCAACAAGCTGATGAAGTACCAGGAACACTCACTCGTCTATGCCAAGAAATGTGGAAGACAGCTACTTGGCCAACTGACTGGAAGAGATCCATATTAGTACCCACTCCGAAGAAAGGTGACCCAACAGAAGCTCACATGATAAAGCAATATCTTTACTATCACATGCAAGTAAACTTTTGCTGAAGATCATCCAACAATGGTTGCAGCAGTAAGTACATCGACAGGGTTCAGGCCGGATTCAGAAGTGGACTCGGAACAAGGGATATCATTGCTGATGTCAGATGGATCTTGGCTGAAAGCAGAGAATAGCAGAAAGGTGTTTATTTGTGTTTTACTGACTATGCTAAGGCATTGGACTGTATGGATCATAACAATCTATAGATAAGCCTCGAGAAGAATGGGAATTCCACTGGGGAAAGGGAGGAAGGGGGAACTAATGGCAATGATGGATGTATAACCCTCCCCGTGGGGGACAAGTAACATAGATGTGGGTAAAGGAACACAGCAAACACTGTAAAACGTGAAAATAATAATAATATACAATTTATTAAGGGCTCATGAGGGTGGGAGAGTAGGTGAGAGAGGGAAAACACAGGAACTGATATCAAAGGGCTCAAGTAGAAAGATAATGTTTTGAAAATGATTTTGGCAACATATGCACAAGTTTGCTTGATATAATTGATTGTTATAATATCTGTAAGAGCCCCCAATAAAATGTTTTAAAAAGAGAATGAGAATTCCAGAGCACTGCATTGTGCTCATGTGGATCTTGTACATGGATCAAGAGGCAGTTGTGCAAACAGAAGAAGGAAATATGTACAGCATGGATTAAAATCAGGAAATATATGTGTCAGGGTTGTAACCTCTCACCATACTTATTCAGTCTGTATATTGAGCAAGTAATCAGAGATGCTGGACTATATGAAGAAGAATGTGGTAGAAGGGTCAGAGAAAGGCTTATTAACAACCTGAAATATTCAGATGATACAACCTTGCTTGCTGTGCAAGCAAGTGAGGAGGACTTGGAGCACTTGAGGATGAAGATCATGGGTTGCAACTCTCACGATGAATTTTAACTCAAGGTCAAAAAAAGTACATCCTCACAACTGGACCAATAGATAGCATGATTGAAGTTGTTAAGGATTTGGTCTTGCTTGGATCCACAATCAATGCTCATAGAAGCAGTAGTATAGATATCAAAAGACACACTACGTTGGGTTAATCTGCTGCAAAAGGCCTCTTAAAAATAGAGAAAAGCACGGATGCTACTTTGAGAACTAAGGTGTGCCTGACCCATATGCTGTGAAAGCTGGGCAGTGACTAAGGAAGACGGGGACAAATCATGGCATTTGAACTGTGGTGCCAGTGAAAACTATCCACAGTTCTGTGGACTGCCAAAAGAGCCAACAAATCTGTTTTGGAAGAAATATAGCCAGAATGCTCTTTGGAGGCAAGGATGGAGAGACTTTGTCTCGTGTCATCAGGAGAGACCAGTCCCTGGAGAGGGACGCCATGCTTGGAACAGAAGGGAAGAAAAAGAGAGGAAGACCCTCAACAAGAAAGACTGAGTCGTTGCAACCACGGGCTCAAACATGGAAACAATTGCAGGTTGGCACAGGGCCGGACAGTGCTTGTTTTGTTTGTTTGTTCTGTTCACAGGGTTGCTATCAGTTGGAACCTCACAACAAGTTTATAAATGCACGAGAGACAAAATTGATTAAGAATATAACCGTACTTTCTGTTCATTTTACATAACATATATCTGCATATTATAATAAAATATAATACCAGGGTAAGTAGTCTAATATATATTAACCCATACTCTTTTGTATTTCTTCTTTTATAACAATTAAAGTCATCCTATCTTGTTGACTTCTATTTTCATTAATCACCTTTAAATTCCCTTTGGAGCCAAACAGGATCTATATTAATTAATGAAATAATAAAGGTTAACATATGTTTCAACATAGAATTTTGAATGAACTTCATCTATATATGGAGAGCTCTATGGAACAGTTCTATATCCTATGGGGTCACTTTGAACCACAAGACTAGATGAAAAAAGTTTATGTATAAGAAAGATATTTGATAAAATAACAATAACTTTAGTTTACTCTTCTTTCTAGGTATGTTAAGAACAAAACTTCATACATGTAAAAAAATGGTTTTAGTTTGAGAAGTCATTTGGTACTCCATTGATGGAAATCTAAATTAATACAATAAATGTTCTCAAAACATTCTAAAATATATATTTTTAAAGTTCTTATGTTTTAATCAAATAATTTTGTATTGAATATTTTATTAAAAGTAAATAACCAGAAATGTACAAAATAACTAGTAGTATTGAAGAACAATGAAAAAATATAGATTTGGTAAACAACTACTGAGATTCACATACAGTGGATTTCCATATGGCCATTAAAATTATGATTTGGAAAATATATATTTAATTAGTACTAGTCTTAAGGATTTGCTATATTACTTCCAAGAATTTCACACTCCAGAGGACTAAGGATTTCTCTCCCCTATAAAACCTCAGAAGGCAAATTAGCAATGATAAAAATTTTACTTATCTATTGTGTAATACTAAGTAATTCATACATTACTGTGAAATCAAAATTTTATACCTCAAATTGCTGAGTTCTTGTTCCCATTCCATTTTTTCATTCTCCAACTCTACTTTTATTTCTTTTGTTTCTCTTAGCTCCATTTGAAGTGCACAACACTTAGTTTCCATTTGTTTCATTTTTCTTGTGAGTAGTGCACAGTGATTTTTTTTAAGTTCGATTACTCTTTCATAGGAAAGAATTGCATCCTGAATTTTCAACAGATTAAGGGAATCTGTACACAGGGAAAATGAAGATAAAGGTAATATATGTGAGTAATTTTTGGATATGAAGGGCCATGCTGTTTCAGATTCACTTATTCACACATTGAACATATATATACATATGGGGCCCATGATATGTGAAACATTATACTAAGTTATGCAGGTAAAACAGACATGACATCTGGCTCCTGTTTAGCTCACAGTCGACTAGAGGAGAAAAGCAAATAAAATGATAACTATAAATTCATATAGCTGCTCTTAGAAGGCAGAGTACCATCATTATATAAGAAAACATGATTTAGAAACACCAGGGAAGGTTTCCCTGAGCAAGTCATGGCTACCCTGAGAGCCAGAAAATGAGCAGGAAGTAACTAAGCAAAGGGGGAGCATGTGCCCAAGTTTTACTGCAACCAGCTTCCAGCTAACATGGGGTAGCAGGTATTGATTTACCTTCCCACCTGAAAATGGTCAGGGATAAAACAAAGATACATTAATCACTGTTTTTCAAAATGTCAGGCAATGAAGGGATAACGACCCTTGACAGACAGGAAATAGAGGAAGTAAACCTTAAGTATGCCCGGCTCACTGCCTTTATTTAGTGTCCAGGCTGACACAGGAAAAAGGAAGTGAGGTGGAGTCCAGCTGATCACCCGAGTGGAAGAAATGAAGTGGAGCATCCGTGGCAACCCATGTGGGCGGAGATCACAGATCAGAACACTCACTGGGGAAGAGAGAGCAGTACCTAGTAAGAACCTCAGACGAGGCTCCTTGGCTACTGAGAGGGTAATAAACAGTGCAGGAGTATGAAGAAACTATCTGAGGCTTTTGGAAAATAAAACTATTTTGGAAGATTAGAGGAAATGGTGCCTGGTGTTCACCTAGGGCCAAGGATACTGTGTTTCCACTAGCTACCCAGAAACACCCTCTTCATTCACACAAGACACTGAGTAGAGCAGGCAGAAAGTTTTGCCTCAATGGTGAGGAATAATTAGCCCTGGGAAAAATACTGCACATGACCTGCCCACCAAATAATAAAAGCAAAAGCTGGAAGGATTAAACTGTCTGCTTCCACAAAGTTCTATTCTGTCCTACAGGGTTGCTATGGGTCTGAACTGACTTCAAGGGCAGTGGCTTTTCAACGGTAAAATCAATAAATGCTGGCATCCAATCACAGTTTACTAAGTACACAAAGAGGCAGGAGGAGGAACACACACACACACACACACACACAAAGAGAGCGAGAGAGAGTGAGAAGTGAGAACCTGACCCAGAGCTATCATGAGTGTCAGAATTACAAGAGAAGACTATTAAGTTATTATAACTCTATTCTATCTTTAAAAAAAACCTCAAGTCAAGCTAGAAGAAATATGCAAATCATAGTGTCACAGATAAAAAATGTACTGTATGGGAATAAAAACTGATTAGACATTGCAAAAGAAAATAGTAGTAAATGGGAAATAACAATATTGAAGCAGCTAATATACACGTTCCCAGAGAGGTGGAACAGGAGATAGGAAATAAATTTTTAAAGAAAAAAATACCCCAAATGTTCCAAACTTAACAAATACTATAATCCCAGAGATCCAGTGAGCTCAACAAGAGAGGGGAATAAAAAACGTGTTACCTACTGAGGTACAAAGATAAGGAGGTATGAGGTTTTGTCAAAAAAAATGTGTGCTTTCCTTCCCAACACACATCCTGAAGACAAATGGGTGCATAAGCAAATGTGGTGAAGAAAACTGATGGTGCCCGGCTATCAAAAGGCTTGAAGGTAAAGAAGTGGCCATCTAGCTCAGAAGCAACAAAGCCCACATGGAAGAAGCACACCAGCCTGTGTGACCACGAGGTGTTGAAGGGATCAGGTATCAAGCATCAAAGAACAAAAAATCATATCATTGTGAATGAGGTGGAGTGCAGATTGGGGACCCAAAACCCATCTGTAGGCAACTGGACACCCCCTTACAGAAGGGTCACGGGGAGGAGACGAGCCAGTCAGGGTGCAGTCTAGCAACAACAATTGTATATTGTTGAAAATATACAATATACAATTGCTAGAAATATACAATTTTCCTTTAGTTCTTAAATGCTTCCTCCTTTTCCCCCACTATCATGATCCCAATTCTACCTTACAAATCTGGCTAGGCCAGAGGATGTACACTGGGAATCCAGGACAAATGATCCCTTCAGGATCAGTGGCGAGAGTGGTGATACTGGGAGGGTGGAGGGAGAGTGGGGTAAAAAGGGGGAACCTATTACAAGGATCTACATACAACCTCTTCTGTGGGGGATGGACAACAGAAAAGTGGGTGAAGGGAGACGTCAGACAGTGTAAGATATGACAAAATAATAATTTATAAATCATCAAGGGCTCATGAGGGAGTGGGGAGCAGGGAGGGAGGGGGGGAAATGAGGAGCTGGTACCAAGGGTTCAAGTAGAAAGCAAAGGTTTTGAGAATGACGAGGGCAAAAAATGTACAAATGTGCTATATGGATTGTGATAAGAGTTGTATGAACCCCCAATAAAATGATTTTTTTAAAAGGTGTGCTTTATCATGTCCATTCTACCTCACTGCAGCTGCTGAAAACAAAAAGCTCTTGCAGAAAAAAGTATATGGAATGATGAGACGTATACAATTACAGCAGAAGTTTTTAAAGAATGTGACCTGTTCATATCTGAAATTTTAAAAATATCTAATAATCATGGTAGCCACCTTGACCATGACTTAGGGAGGCAGAGAAAAGTGGTCTGAGGTGACTGCAGTATTCGAAGCAGAGAAGAAAAGCAAAGGCAACAAGACGGCTGGCAGTCCCACAAACACGGAGTAAAGTACAGCGGAAACGAGGGCGGCGCCTCGGCTCAGTGTGCACACCAGCTCTCGCTGTAATTTCACGTAGACACCTTTCTGAGATGAACAGCCCACCAAGCTGCAGCGCTAAACAAAGTGTCCATGCAATACTGCAGGTAAACATAAAAAGGCTCTGTATTTATAGAGCGCTCTTACCATTACAACTCATGGCAAGTTGCTCCAGTAGCGTCACCGAGTTCGGTAGCACACAGTCCTCTGAGGCCGTTTCAGAGGTCAGAGACCAGCACTCGTCGTCCTGCACACAACCCATGTTCTTCGAGACCTATGGAATAAATAAATAAGTGAATGTCCCTCAAATATTTATACTATATGCTAAATTTAGAGAGGTAGTAAATATCCACTTTTTTATAAGAACAGAATCAAACTCTCTGTACTTTTTTGAAGTAACTGATTTTTATCAAAAGATGTTTTATTAATGTCTACTGTTTCTTTTTCTTTTTTTTTTATGTCTACTGTTTCTATATTACCTTTTCAAATTAAACATTATTTTTCGTTTTACCCTTAATAAATGCATTTTGTTCAGCTACAGAACAATATTTTTAGTAATTTACTTTTTACCCTACCTTGGTCTTCATATCAGATGTTTTCTTTGCAGGCCTAAAAGACAAATTCTTATTTTTAGGCAGATATTTAAAAGTAAAATACAAATAAGATCTCAAGCTATTGCTTTCAATATAAAATTCCTGCATTTAGAGCTTATTTCTCTTGTTCATAAGAAAGTTGACAGGCTATTTAAAATATACTATTCTATTTTCTACATTGAGAATTAAACTATAAGTAGAAAGAGTAATATTAAAGGAAAAGGAAAGTATGTTTAATATCTCCACCATAAAAAGTCTTAAACTTAGATCTAGCTTTCTGACAAAGAGAAGAAAAGCCATAATGTAATTTGTAAGATTTGATAGGAAAAAATGTCAGGTTGTTTTCTTGTTGCTGCCTACAATAAAAGCAAGCTTTTACTGGTGCTAAGTCCCATTTGGAAATTATTACTTAAGTTATTAAGTGGAGCTCCTCTCTTTTTATTGAGAAATTCTCTTAATAATGATGCCCTTAGTTAGCTTTTAGAGGACTTAACTATGCATTGTTCTAAGCACATTACATTCTTAACTTATTTTGATTGTCATGATAATTCTATTAAAATATTCAGTATTTTACCAAAGAAGAAACCGGCACAGAGGGGCTGAGTCACTTGCCTGGAGTCACGGTTGAACAGAAAAATAAGCGGAACTACAGCCCAAGAACTCAGTTCCAAAGCACGTCTTTCATAAGAATGCTGTTATAGCAATAATTATTTTTAAGTGCTTTTAAGTAGTAGATAGCAAGTGAAGCTAAATTGTTACTCCATCTCTGGTTAGACTTACAAATAATACTTTCAGAATCCTAAAAATAAATATTTTTAATAAAAAGACTTTATAACTAGGTAAAGTTAAAAACCATTTTCAGAAGAAACACATTACCAAGCATTCCCTCATTCAGAGGTCTATTCATGCATTCGTCAAATACTGAGCATCGAATAAGTGTTAATGACAGGTACGAGGGACCTTCTCATTGCGCTTTGGAACTTTGCAATCCCAAAATAGTAATTTATAATAGATGGCTCCCAGAGACTAAATAACAATTAAGTTGATATAACCTGTTATTTTAGAGTACCTTTATAAAAATCACAATCATTCATGATGATTCTGTCAGGGGGGTACAAAATCAAAGAATCAAGGAATGATTAAATTCTGTGGCCCACATGCTTGTATGCTTAGTATTACATATTATAAATTCTATATATGATAATATAGTTTTAAATTATCATCTGCATATGCAATTATCCAAGAATACGCCATTCTGAACCATTTGAGTGAACAACTTCTTACCAACAATCTATATACATGGAGGCTCCAAAAGTTTGTGGAAAAATTCCATGATCTTCCATTCCATTTTTCCACCAACTCTTTGAAGCCTCATTATATATAAAAAGAAAAGAAAAACATAGGGCAGGACCAAAACATATTAATTGTTAGCACTAGTAAATCTTTCAAGGATAATCTAGCTAACAACAATGAATACGAGAAAGAAGATAATGTTCCAAACTGATTGTGGTGATAACTGCCCAACTCTTCTACTATAATTCAACTATTACACTGTATATGAATTATATGCCAATAAAACTATTAAAATGAAGCAATAAAATCAGGAAGCTTTCTGGAAATACAAATAAAATTAAACCTGATAAGCATGTCCTCAATTGAATCTCATCAGCCTTCACTCAAATATCTCCCATCTTAAGATAAATAAAACAGAAAATAAACTCTCTTAAATCCTGTCTCATTCAGTTACTACCCAATTCTCTCCAGCCGTTCCTCACAAGTATATCTGCAAGTGCCAAGTGCAGTGGGCTTCCATGTCTGCCAAGCACTGAGCACGCTCCTTATCAAAGCCACTTGTTCTCATTTCAGTGAATTTTTCACCAGTACTTGAAATAATTTGTATTTTTTTGCTGTTTTATTTCCAGAAAAGGTACAAGCATTCCTTTGTGGGAAAATACAGAATTCATATTGTTTACCTTCCTTCCTCCTGATCAGTTTCGCTGAAACTGCTGTCAGGAGTATTCACTTCTGGAAGAACACCACACAGCACATTAGCCTTCTCCACCACGGGTGTAACTGCAGATGAGGTTGGGGTCCAATTTTGACTTTCATATTTCTTTACTTCCAACATAGGCAAGTCAAGACTACTACTTAAAAAAACCCACAAAAAACACACAATGTTTTCTAATTACTCTGACAAAATATTCATGCAAACAATGCAAACATGAGTAATTAACTAAAGCTAACATCCAGATGGTCAACAATCATATGAAGAAATGCTGTGTTCATAAGCTATAAGAGAAATACAAATTAAAACGATGAGCTAGCACCTCACATTGACACCTTAACAAAATTTAAAATAAATACATAAATGCTGGAGAGGATGTGGACAGACTGAATGCTCATACATTGCTGGTGCAATTGCAGAATTGTACAGCCGCTATGGAAAACAGGATGTCGCTTCCTTAAACAAATACAAAGGATTTATGATCCTGTGACCCCTCTACTGGGTATATACCCTAAAGAAATAAGAACAAAACACACACATATATAGGCACACCCATGTCTATTACAGCCATTTCTATTACAGCAAGAAGGAAACAATCAAAATCGATATCTGTAGAGCAATGTGTGCATGAACATTGGTATATTCACGCAATGGAATATTATCCGTCCTTAAAAAAACAATGATGAGTCTGTCAAACATCTTATGACATGGACAACATTGTAAGACATTATACTCGCAAAGTTAGTCAATCTCATAAAGATTAAAGAGTTCATATCATCACTATCATAACAGGGAAAAGAAGAAAACTGGATTTCAAAGCAGAGAAAAGACTATCATGAGGCCAGGGTCGTGGGGCAAGGAGGGGAGAGACAAAGAGGTAAGGAGGGAAGGTGGGTAGGGAAAGGAAATAGAAAGATGGAGAAGGAGAGAGAACCACATACGAGGGGGATGCTATTGGGATATCGTCACTCTTGATATCACGGGCTGTGCAACTACATACAGTATGTTTCTCTTCGAATGTGTTACATTCCACATAGAAGAGGGGAATAAATAACAACAGTAAGGATTTTTTTAATTAAGAGAGACTGAGGCCAGAGTCTTAAAAACCCTCTAGATTCCTTAACTTCAGATCTCAATTCTGGACTGAGCAGTAATAAAAGGAGCAAAAGTAATACTGAAACGGACTTAAACTTCTTTTGTGAGACACGAGCAAGTTTCAAACAAACAAACAAAAAGTTATTAAGTTCCAACTACACACAAAGAAATACACATCCCCTGCTCCAAAAGGTAAGTGGATATGCAATAACGATATATGATATGGTAATTAAGAGTGGACAAATGAAAACTTAAGATTTGAGTGCAAGAAAGTCTTTAAAGAAGAGGTAATGCCTGACAGAGGAAGCTGGCCAGGCAAAGTGAGAGGAATCCATTCTACTGGCACATGAGAAAGCGAGCGCAGGCATTAGGCACGTGTTATTATGTCTGTCAAGAAACTTGGATTACCCCAGGGAAGCGAGCAGTGAGAGATGAGTCAGAAAAGAAAGTGAGGAACATTCTGATTACTAAATTCAGAGTCTGGGGCTCACTGCCTACATCGATGTTCTCAGACAAAGAAGTAATCACTGTGATTTCAGCTCTACTTTGGGTTTTGCCATTTAAATACGACGGCAAATCATGGAGCACCGCTTTAGAATCACAGAAACGTTTACTTCACAAAAATATCAAACTGGGAAGCTATTGTTTCTTGCCGTATCCGCATGTAGGTCTCTAGACATTTGGAGGTGGGGTATCCATCTCCCTAACCCTTCCCCAAAGAATGCCTTAGGCTTTGGTTGACACCGTGTGCACATGGCAGTTTCAGCACCCTCAAGGTCTCACCGCCTGTTCCTTTAACGGGTGCTTCCGGGACCCTCCTCTGGAGCACACAGCCTGCAGAGCGCACAGCGCTCCTACCCCAGCCTCAGCAGATCCCTTGGAAGTCACTGTTTTTGACTCTACTTTCTCGTTCTTCCTTTTTTTCTTTTTTGGATAAACAAGTGTGTTGGTAAATGTAGTCGACATACATAATTGACCTAAAAACTTCCATTAGGAGGAGAAATTTTGAAATCACTGTGAAGGCCAGCTCTCTGTATTTTCCCTGGATTGTGCACCAGATGTAGCCTAGGCCACTTCAGCTGGAGCCATATGCCCCTCCCCCAGCAAGCTTACTCTAGGGATTCATACAAACCCCACAAGGAAAGAAGTGCAATTGGGGTTCCTCTTCGCTGGGGAGACTCAGCCTACAAATGAGACCAACCACACAGACAACAAGCTGCACTTGCCTAGTTCTAGAGATTAGTAACAATGACGCTGCTGTGAATGACTGGCGTATTCTAGAGCCCTTATAAATAACACCCCCATTCGTGTCCACTTTATCAGCTAGAGGGCCAGTTAGCCTGTGGTGGAATGAGGCTGATGCAAGGCAGAACCAGGCAGAGCATCTCCCCACTAGGAAATCACACACAGTCTCCTTAGAAGCCCAAGAGCTGCACTGTAAAACCTCACTGCCTTCAAGGCGATGCGACCCTATCAGGCAGGGTACCTTACGCCTGTAGCTCTGGACACAAGTGGAAAGCCTCCTCTTTCTCTCCTTTACATCTGCTGGCCATGCGATTAGCAGCCCCACAGGAAACCATCTAGGGTTACATGTGCTCCTCAACATGTGTGGATGTAAACGTTTCATTTTAAACTGTTGACACTACAGTATGTTAAGTCGCTATTATAAATGCACAGTGTACTTGATAGCGTCCAGGCTTACTTTTCTTTCTACGGAAACTGTAAGTGACACTTGCATCCCTTCACGCTGGAAGAAGCCCACTTTCTGTCAGAGTGATGTACAATCAGACTCGACAGCCCCAACTGCTAAACACTTGCATCAAGCCATAACCAGTTTTATTGCAAAACGACCCTGCGCACCTTCATTATCGATTCCAGTTCCTTAATAGCTACCCAACAAGTCATCAACATGCAGAATCACGCCTGTGAGAAGCTGGACGGGTCACTCGTCCCCTCTGCTGATCAGCACTGAGCAAGTGTCCGCAGCACCGAGGACTGTGAACACTCGCTTTTCACACGCATCCTAAATGACTTCAGTCCAAATGCAACACATCATAAACAATTTCTTACCAAAAAGCCACGATGTAAAACAAAGTGTTTTACTACAAAACACCATAAAAGCAACCGCTTGCTAAGGCGTGCTCCTACGGTATCCGGAAGCCAACCGGATGTCTTTGGGTATGATGGTACCTCTCTTGGTGTGGAAGGCACACGGATTCGTGTCTCTGAATAAGCCCACCAGGTCCGCTGCACCGGCCCCCTGCCGCGCTCTGGACCCTCAAGTGCGTCTTGCAGGCCTGAGTGCGGCCCTGCAGCAGCGAGCCGGCAGTTGGTGGACTTCTGTTAGCGGCGGATCTCGCGCAGTGCCGCCTACCCCACGCGCTTGTACCAGTGAGACTTCTTCACCCCGCCCGTTAAGGAGTGCGTGATGGCCAGCTGCGTGCAGGGCGCGGTCACCCTGCCTCCGGCCAAACAAATACCGACGCCCAGCCCCTCTGGGACACCCGCGTGTCCGCTGCCGTGGAGAGTCGCCGTCACCAAGGGAGGAAAGACGCGCCTCCAGCCAATGACTGACCAAGGCACTCCGTGCTCTCCCCCCGGCAGTCTAAGGAGACTAAGACAAGTATTACTGAGGGAGATCGGCGAGAACGGGGCTCTGGGGAGGGATGTTTTTCCCATCAGAGTAACGCCTCCTCATTTTTCAAAGGTAGCAAGGGCTGTCTGATGAGTCTTTTGCTGTGAGCCCTTATGGTACTCCCCCGACAGCCCTGCTTTTGCCCCGTCAATCTTCTTTTTGTTCCCTCAAACTCAAAGAATATTTAAAAGGAGCATGATTTAGGTCCTTTGAAAATTCCAAGACTGCCATTTTGGCATGAAGTAAATCAAAGAAAGCAGAATTCTTTGGTGAAGATGTCAACACCACCTTCCAAAGTATATAGACATACAGTTGGCAGTAACAGAGTTCACACAAATACGTTTCCTACAAAACAAAGCGTGTGCCTTGTTGAACGTATAAGTGTTAAGTAGACCTTAACCCAATTCACAGTCAAAACTTAACACGGAGAGCAGACCGAGTGACGCCATGTCAAGCAACAACAGCTTCACACTTTAATATGACTGCTAATAAAGCTTCCTGTGATCGTGTAAAAATACTTTTTGATTGACTCTCATATTCTTATAAAAGATGTACGGCCCCTTTCTAAACAAATAAAACATCAAAGACACTCCAAGGTGTTTGAAGGAGTAACTGAATGGATAGAGTTGCAGTTGGATGAAGAAGACGGACTGTATCATGGCCGGTTTGAGGCAGAACAGGAGTAGCTTCTTCGAGATGCCCACCACTCCCCATCAGCGATCCAAACAGATGGCAAGTAGGCAGTGGAGACTCAGCTCTGGGAACCAGGACTACATACCCAAGGGATGGGAAAACTGCTCAAGGACTGAGCTTGAGACGCTCAATGTTTCAAAGGCACGTGATGAGAAAGAACCAGAGAAAGAGACTGAGATGGAGCCAGACAGAGTGGAAAGGCAGGAGGAAAACCAGGAGGTTGAAGGACATCCTTGAAGCCACGCAAATAAAGCTTTTGAAGAAGGAACAATTTTACATCTGATCAAATAGTGTTGATTGCTTAGGTAAAAGGAGGTTTTTAACAGGATCTTGTTTTAGCAGAGGTCAATCTACCATCTGTTTTTGCAAATAAAGTTTTATGAGCACAGCGCCACATCTATTATTAATTTATTACTTAAGGCTGGTTTTGCTGTACGACAGCAGAGACCTAAGGTCCCTCAAAGTCTAAAGAATGTGCTATCTGGCCCTTTACCAAAAAAGTATACTATCCCTCATACTGAAATGTTTAAACCAAATAAGGAACACACTACCATACATAATCTCTTATAAATATTCAGATTACTTTGAGGAAGTAACACACAGGAGCAAAAGCAAAAATCTAATAATCGCAATTTTGCTCATAACCAAGAAGAGTAACAATATAGCATGCAGCTTCACTTTACAACTGAATAGATATTAGAAGTATTCTAACAAAAATTTGTGTCAGATGTCATAAAGTCAAATTATTTAGATATATTTTAATTGTGAACAATTTGTATACTAAAAATGTATATCTTTTAAAATATCTGCATAGTACATTCTTTTAAGCATATGACAGCTTAATTATTTCATTATTGATGGATATTTTTTAAGACTACCTCCACTTTTTTGATATGACAACACTATAAATACCCTTAACCTATGAGTAACATATTTAGATAAATATCCTTAACCTATATGGATATGACAGATCTTAAATATATACAAAAATTTCATAATTATCTATCATATTAAACAAGAGAACTGCAAAGAGTATGTAGAAAATGTCCCTTATCTTAAACAGGAAGCAATAGGCAGAGGGTAGACAGGTAACTTGGGAGAAGGGAAGGCAGTATTTGATATGAGGGAGAAGAGAAGCTGGAGTCCAGGGAGGGGCAGGACAAGCTACTGGAAGTGGGGATAAGTAGTTAAGTTGTTGAAAATAGTATTATTTGAAATGTAAAAAAAAAAGAAAAAGAAATGTAAGCCCCTACCTTATTAACATTAAACGTTTTTAAAATTGTCCCCTATCTTTTAATACCACTTTTCACAACCTCTTAGAAGCCTCTCCTATATTATCTACCCCAAATAAACCTACTGCTATCAAGCTGATTACAATTCAGAGTGACCCTCAAGGACTGAGGAGACCGAGTGCTCTGTAGATTTCCGTGGCTGCAATTGACAGACGTCAACTGACTGCTAGGTCTTCTCTCCCAGAGAGCGGCTAGTAAATTTAAACTGTCGACCTTTGGGGTTGGCTGTCAAGCGATTAAACCACTGTGTCACCAGGGCTCCTTAGATAATGTATACTCAACATACACATGTGTGTCTACACAAGTACACAGTTTTCTGTATGATCTAGACCCAGAAGCAAAACTGCTGGCTTAAAGAGATGTCGCATTTAAAATTTTTATCTACTACTAAATTATCTGCCAAAAATAAGTTGCCTGTGTGATATGTCAGCGTATAAGAGAAGGCCGATTCTGTCAGATTTTCCATTGTAAGGTTATTACCATTTCATAATAAAAAGGAAAACTAGTTTGGTTTTAATAAAATATGATTGCAAAAGGTGCTTCAACATTATGTTACTTTGCCCTCGTCTGATTAGGAGGCAAGAGTTAACATCTCCAGTCAACTTGTAACATTTATTTATCATAAACCCAGGCCCCAAATATAATTTGTTTTATAGGAAAATAACAACCCCCGACTGTCAAATATTTCTGTAGACTTACCCATCAGAATCTTCATTCTCCTCAACAGGAAATCGTTTACCAGTTTCTTCACTCTTTCCTTTTTTAATTAACCCATCATCATCAAAGTCAGCAGCTAACTGATGTGTGTTTTCTGGTCCTTTCCGTGTACTGCTTTTGACCTTATTCTTTTCTTCCCGAACCTTCCATGAAAGTGTACAATTGTCATTATTGCACTCAATAAAAAGAGCTTTTATGTTTTTGTTAATCTTATCATTTGACTCTGAGATTACTTGTGATTACTTTAAACAATAAACTATTTTTGTGTACTTAATTTTATCACAATTGGTCACTGGAATATCATAAACATCCTCTTCACTTCTGCTTAGAGTAAAAAAGAACTTCTAAAAGCTTCAAAGAGATCTTTCTTGATTCTGCACTTACTCATATCCACTCTTTACTAACATTTTCAACCCCACGTGATTGGCAGGCACACAGAAAGAAAAGAAGACGATACAAAGTGTGTCCTCTGTTGCCTGGAACCTCTTCGTTTGACAGCGAGAAGTTTGCCCAGCTGAGGGGCACCAGCACTGCCGGCTGCGGTCACGGGGATGGAGCTTTGGCTTGCTGCACTACACAGCCCACCCCCACCTCTGCCTGCAATGCCTTTTCCAAGTCTCCCTTCCTTTCTTTTCCCATTTGGTTCCTGGGAATAGCAAAGGAGTGAAGGTACTCATTGCATGACAGAAGGGCATAGGAGACAGAGTGGATCCTGGCTGGCTGGTTAGTTAAGGATTCGGGAGAAAGAGGACTGCTTCCTCAGCTTCCCCTTCACTAACCATAAAACGTTGCAGCTGGAGGGTATAATAGTAATTAGCTACTATTGTTTCACAATCTACTGATGTTGGGGTTAAATCCAGAAAGGTGAAATGACTCATCCAAATGTGCTTAAAATGAAATTACCCAGCATTTTATGGCATCAAAACAGATGAATCAATTTTATAATCCTGAATTCAATATATTAATCAGATAAATGCATCCAATTAATGACACCAACAAATGATAGGTGTGACTTTGGTAATGTAATCTAAAACCTTAGAAAGGGCTTCCACCTGCCTTTTATTTTAATGGAAAATGGTTGTAGATGTTTTTATAGCTTTAAAATTAGTTCACATTTGGCAGCAAAGTTCAAAAACTCATAAAATAACAAATGCAGGAGAGAGTGTCAAAGAGTGTCAAACCCTCAGCCACTGCTAATGATTCTGGAAGAATGTGCATCCCCTGGAGGAATGCGACAGCATGTCCTCCAACAGCTGGGAAGGGCAATTCCACACCTTCCAGCATCCCTCTGCTGAGTAAATACCCGGATGAAGTAAGAGACATAGAGCGCAACACTGTGCACAACAGCGAGAAGCTGGACACAAGCTAAATGCCCTCCGTGGAAGAGCGGGTAAATAAACCTCGCTACATACAACAATGGGAGGCGATCAACTACCAGAGAAAAAGGATAACATTGCCGAGTACTCCATGGCAAGGGTGGACCAGGAAAACACTGTGCTGAGTAAAAGTAGTCAACTACAAACGGGGCAGATACTCTATGAGACCACTGTTACAAAGGAAACTTAAAATGGAGATTTTTATAACAGAAGCATATGTTGATGGCTGGAGATGGGAGGAGCGCAAAGGCGGGAAGGGAAAGGAGAGGACGGAGGGGAGGCAGGTGCTACCTGGGATAAAGGGGAAGAAGGGGAAGGTGGTATTCCAAGAGAGGGAGAGAAAAAGTCTGAGGTGGAGGGCAGGGCAACTATTGAGGGATTGATAAATGATTTCAATTGTTGAAGACACAATGTATGATTAGAAATGTAAACCTCCAAAAGTGACAGAGGAAGGGTCAATTTATTGGTTTTCTTTTCAGATGTTATTCCTGTTGGGCTGCATGTTTTTACAATATTTCTACCCTTCCACAATCAAGTATGGACAATGAAAAACTAGAAAATAATTAAAATTTAACTTTTAAGCTTTTAAATGTCTTACTGACTTGTACCTGAGAAGTGAAAACTAAAGTATGAGGAAATAACATGAACCAGTAAACTAAGTTTGTCACTGTTCAGACTAAATGCAATTCATTACACAGCCAATCTAACAAATATTTGTTTGGAGATGACTGTTAATATTGCAAATGCTTTTTTTGTCTAAAAAAATTTGACCTCATCATATCTTAAATTGTGAGCCCCTACATTGCATAGAAGGGTTTGTTGTTGATGATGTTTTTTACACATTAGAAGCAGGAGAGTAGGAAAACTTAAAATTGTTAAGTCACAGTCAATTCATATAAATTAGAAAGAAAAGCAAATTCCTTATATTCAAATGATATACCATGATCATGTTATGAACCTACATGGATTATCTCCATGCGTCCACTTCAAATATATTCCAATGTCCACTACTGAGAGTGGATACAAAATTTTAAAAATGGTATTTACTGATTTCCTAATCTCTGCACTGAAGTGAGTAAGGTGGAAAGCCATTGTTTGTACCCATAACACCAACTGGCCCGTTCTGGCAGACTTGATTCCATGCCCCATTCGCTTCCTGCATGTAGAGTTCTCAGCCAGTCACAGAGACCACAGGCTGAACAAATCTTTTAACTTGGCATTCTACTCAGTGCCACTGAGTCCATTCTTACCCACAGTCTAGACCGGCTCCAGTGGGTTCTCAAGACTGTACATCTTTACAGGAGCAGAAAGCCTCAACTTTCTCCCATGGCATGGTTTGGAGGTTTTGAACTCCTGACCTTGCAGTTAGCAGCCCAACACATAACACGCTATGTCACCAGAGCTGCTAACCTTGGCATTAGTGGTGGGTGATACGAAACTGTAAATACTGAACTGCTAATTATTCCTTCTACACAAATCCAACTCAGTGATTATCAGCTTCCTAATCAAGTGATTCAATATTTGAAGTTATCTTCATTAACATAGGATGTTATAAAAACGAAAGAAGAAAACAATATTCAGAAAAAAACCTTTGTATCATTTCGAAGGATAACCTTAAAATACTGCTAAAATTTACTATAGATTCTAAGAAAAGTTTGTTTTATATCTAGCCAAAATGTTTTATTAAATTATATGACGTACAGTCTGCAAAAGACTAGTCCAAAAGAGAATTTCATTTGGACAATGGAATGATTTAAAGCAGAGAAAAGAATATAAAATAAAAAATTAAAAGTTTTACATACCTGTGACTCATTACTTTTACGTTCATTACATTTGTCCTCTTCCTTCGGACTCATTTTTAAGTCTATTTCTGCTGACAAATATATGTATTTAGTTAAAATATATTCTTAGGACAATTAGGTAAAAGTTTAATCTTTAAAAGCACAGTTAGAAAATAACATTTTACATGAAAATTTAAATTAAGGTTAATCCGTTAAATTAGAGCTGGTTGAGGAGTGTCAGCAGCAGCCCCGTGATGTCTGGGAAATGAACACAGAGAAGGGGGCGGAGGGGTGCCGATCACAATGACCTACATATAGCGCCCTCCCTGAGGGATGGACAACAGAAAAGTGGGTGAAGGGAGACATCGGACAGTGTAAGACATGAAAAATAAAATTATAAATTATCAAGGGTTCCTGAGGGAGGGAGGGTGGGAGAGGGTGGGGAACAAATGAGGAGCTGATACCAAGGGCTCAAGTAGAAAGAACATGTTTTGAGAACGATGATGGCAACAAATTTACAAATATGCTTGACGCAATGGATGGATGTATGGATTGTGATGAGTTGTACGAGCCCCCAATAAAATGATTTTAACAAAAAGAAAAGAAATGAACACCGAGAGAAAAGAGCTAAATATGGAGAGTTAGGCAGAAGCCAGATAAGGCCCCATCTGCTTAGGCATTAATATCTTTGAAAGAGTAGTCCATGGTCAGATTTACATTTGATATATAGCACTTTAAATAATGTGGGAAGGCTGAATTTAAGGAGCATGAGAATAAAAGTAGAGAAGGCAATAGTGTAAAATGAAGGTAAAAGCAGTCTGAAATGGAAGGGGTTTTCAGAAATACGTAGAATATAAAATGAGTAATGCCAGTTATAGATTTATGTCGGAATCACTGCCTTCAAGTTGATTTCGACTCATGGAGATCCCACATGTGACGGAGCCAGCTGTGCTTCGGAGTTCCCAATGGCTAGACCCTTATGGATGTGGGTCAGCAGGACCTTCAGGGTCAGCAGGTGGGCCACCAACATCTCAGTTAGTGGGCAGAACTTGTGCCCCCACAGATTTTAAGATTAAAAAATATGATTCTAAAGTATGATCTGAAACTCTCCGATCATAGGTTTTGCTTTTGGCAAAGGTTAAAATTCTAATAAGCATTTTAAAGTATTAGGAAAAAATTTCAGAGTCCCATTATTGACATCTGTGAATTTCTAAGAAATATAGACTGCCAAACTAAGATTTTTAGGAGGTAGAAAGCATGAAATGGAAAAGTAAGAGTTCAAGCTTGCTGTGTCAAAATCTTTCTTTTATGCACCTAGAGATTTTTTTTCAAATATGAATAACAACGGCATATGAATGACTTCTGACAACTCTTTCAACTAAATTTGCAAAACAATGAAATAAATTAGAAAGAAGAATCCTGTGAACAAGTCAAACAGCTTAATGTACTTATTACAAAGCTAAATTGGTGTTGTAAAGTTTACCTGATTTGGATGTTTTTAAATCCTTGCTTGCCAGCACTTCATGAGGAGAAGCAGTTTTGGTAGTCTGAAGGGATTTGAAACGAGGATTAACAAATAAGGAGCATTTCATACAATCTATAGTTACTAACTGAAAGTAAAACTATGGAAGTTTTACATAAAAGTTATTACCTTCAAATGCAGATTTTTCTTAGGAGAATCTAATGAGAAAAGGTACATAATCAATTGCAGGTAAATATAACAAAAATCAATCACACATATTCATGCAGAATTAGTTATCAAACTGAAGTCTTATGCTTGGCTGTAGACAGGTTTAGCACACATGTTTTGCATTTTCTGCTTGTTTTTGTTACAACAGTACCATGAAAGAAATATGCATCCATCTTAAAACACTGAAGAAATAATAGGAATATAGGAATAACAAAACATGCCATTAAGATTTCAAAAGTGAGATTATGTTTCCAATGATTGCGACTAAAATAAAAGCTATCCATAAGCAACGTGGACATGCTGATTGATGGGGAGAAAAGTGATCTTCAATCAGACGAGCGAATCATGACCCTGAGAACATCCATGCCAAAGTTGATGGTAGAATGCAAGCGCATGTCTCAAATGCAATACAACAGAATCAGTGCTATCCTTTTTCTGCAGTATTTATCATGTGCTTCACATTGTCCTGTAATTTAGGAAGCACACAGTTGTGAGGACAATTGAGTAGAATGTATGTTCCACTTCTCATTCAAGTAATAACATGTTCCGACTTGATCAGCTTGAATATTCACTTGTAGAATAATAGTTCATAAAAATACGCATGTTATGCCATACCTACGTGGGCTCCTGGTATGCCTACATTTCTCGTATCCTCTAGTTTAGCCATCTTAATATTCCTTGGTCCACTCATGCAAGAGGGTATGTAAAACACATCTAAGAAATAATGGACAATAAAATTTCAATATTGAAATATGGTTGTCAAAAAGAGAGCAATTTTAATCACAGAAAGTCACATATCAAAAAAATGTTAGATATCAATAACCTTTAAGATTTAAAAATCAGTGCTGTTTTCACTGACAATAACAATTTTAGTATTCAAGGAAAGAATTCAACCATTTGTTTTCTTTCTCAAATCACTTTAGTCATTTCACCCTACTTTCTAAAAGGACTTTTATGAAAACACAGGTTTACCCAAAAAAATGGTTCACTATTCAATTATTCTCATTTGTATAACTAAGTGGCTGAAGTCTCATCCAACTGTAGCGCTCTCTCCCCTGCTTGCAGTTTCCTAGCGCAGCATACTGAAGTCGGAGAAGAACTCTTAACGACTGTGCTCACCTAAACGTGAACAAAGCAGATTCTCTGAAGTTCTATTTCCATCAACTATTTCATTGTTCTTCCTTCTGTTCACTATTCTTCCCTTCAAAAGTGATCCCTAGATCTATGATGCTGCTTCCGCCTTTTTTAGCATTCTTAATATGAATTGTTCTCCATTTCCTTTTTCAGTTTTGATTAGGAGTAGTACCTTGCAGACTAAATTTCTATCTCATTATCTCTTTGGCCCCTTCCGTCCACCACAAACATGCTCAGAAAGAAAACACGCCTTTCCTCAATAAGGCAGATGGAAGCCACTATTCCATGACTCTTCTTCTTCCAGACAGCTCTAGGGACGTCTAGCACCCATGCTACTTGGAGTGGGGTCTGAGGACTGGCAGCACCGGCAGCACCTGGGAGTGTGTTCGAAATAAAGGCTCATTGAGTCAGAGTCTAAGTCTGGACTGTACAGTGTCAGCTTCCACTCTCCTTGAACTTGACCTTCTGGAATCTAACCTTGAGTTTCCTCCCGATCCTGTCTGGTGAACTGAGAGTGTCTTAAAGTCATAAAGTCTATCAACGATACTTTCATTGGACTTTCGCGTTGGACTTGTCTCTCCCAAACTAGACGCTGCTCTTTTCTTTGGCAGGGTTCTTCCTTGGGCACAGAGATGCTGTCCTATGAAGTGCACGCATCTGAGATACAAAGATCGCATGACCACATACTTAAACTGGTTCATCAGAGATACAACAGCTCTGCATGATCAGTACAGGAGCTCCGGAGGCATGGTGGTTACAAGTTGGACTGCCATCTGCAAGGTGGGTAGTTCAAATCCATCAGCCCCTCCAGAGGGAGAAAGACGGGCTTTCTACTCCAGTAAAAATGTTGTCTGAGACTTACAGGACCCTGTCCCATAGTCACTATGAGTCGGCCTCCACTCGATGGCGTGAGCTTGGAGTCTTTTTTGGCATGATCAGGCCCTCAATCCTTAGTGCATTCCCACTAAAGAAGATAGTAAAAGGAAAGCTACATCTCAACTTTTCTAAACTTAGAAATGAATCTCCTTTTATATTCTGTCTACCTTTCTAATAGCCGTTCTTCCTTCTTCTAAAGAATCTGTTGATTTTACCACCTTCTCCTATGTGCCCCTGGTTTCTTTTCCCTCCATTTACCCATCAAACTGTCTTTTTCGTTCTTCGTCCCCGCCTCTTTACTCCTTTCTTCTTCTTTAATTACTGACTTTCTATAATTTGCAAATGAAATGAAGACTTTTCCTTCTCTGGTGACACTCTAAAATTAATCTGTTGCTGATACCTTCTTTAATCATCTACAACATATCTCCATCAGACTCCACTCTCCCCTTTTGGATGCTTTCTGTTGGCTACTAGAATTTATCAGTACTCATGCTTAAACAAACATCTCTCAAATGACTTTGCATAAAATAGAATTTTACCTTGACTTTTTGATAAATGTTCTACTTTCACATCTGTAGTTGCAAATAAATCTTCAACATGCTTCTGTGGAGGACTCTCAGGTATACTCTGTTAAAATTAATATCAATAATGGGTTGTACAAAGATTGATTAATCACTTTATGATAGTGCCTATTTTAAAAGTAGTTACACTTAAAATTAAGAGAAGCAAAAAAAAAAAAAAAATAAGAGAAGCATGTACTGAAAACCTACACATTTAAATGTCCCCCTCATTTTTGCTTTCTAGATCATGTCTCACTTTTATCTTGAGTTAGGCATTAACTCTGTAAGCTGAGCTTGAAAGGTCAAGGAAAACATATTTACTTATAAAATACTGATATATGTATCTATTTCAAAAACAGAACTAACTTCAAAGGAGTGGTTTGTATTCCTACCAAAAAGAGACACTTAAAAAAACTAAGCAAATTATTTAACAAATATACTTGCTATAATACATATCCCAAGAGTTCCAGTACTCATATTCAAGAGTTCCAGTATTTCTAAATGACAGAATTTTTAAAAGTGAAATGCCTGGCAAGATAAGGTACTGTACAGCGCTGTCATGCTGAACATGAACAGGAGATCTCAGCTATACCTTGGCCTGGGTAAACAAGGGGTGTAGGAACCTAACTATTTTACATACTAAATAGGGGCTAAGAAACCACGACAAAAAAATGTTGATGAAATTTTTACTGATAGAAAAAAAGTAAAATAAAATGATGGCCAAGAGGAATTTTTTTATTCTGTAGGTTATATTTAAATCATACTAAATAATATGGTATCAATCATTTTTCTAATTTTAGGAATATTTGAAAAAAGAATAGTAAGTTTCCATAAAAGGAGAATAATTTGAAAACTATTAAGCATTGAAAATATGACAGGTACTTCTTAAACATATTTTCCTTTTCTACCCAAAACACTAAAAATGATTATGATGATGGCTACTCTACTTCCGACTTCCTGGTCCTCCCAAAAGTCAAGAAGAAAACACTGAACAAGGCAGACAGGGTCCATTGTTCCCTTAGTCCAAACTCTTCTCCCAAGCCTCACCAGACTCCCGCCCTCCCATCTCATACGTTCGGCGGCTTAAATGTTCACTCAGATCTACTCTAACTACCTAAAGTCCCCCCCACCACCATCCACCCACCCCAAATTAACGACTCCCCTAGTACTCTGTAACCTAATATTCTTCCTTTCCTTTATATGAGACTTATAATGACTTACAATTGTTTGTTGTTTACTGATTTCTCTGTTCCTCCTACTACAGCATAAGCTCTGACATTGATATTCAGGATCTAACTGCCTGGCATGTAGTAGATATTTAACAAAGATATTTAATTATAGTCAAAACATCTAAAATCTCGCAAGTGCCAAATCACTAACTATCTAATTCAGCCAATAATAGTCCACTGCTCATCCTAACTTCTTTTCTGGACACTAATGACATGTTGTCATCTTCCAGGTCTGTTTGTCTAAGTGTTCTCAATAATCAATCCGTCACTATGGTAAGTCCCCTGTGATCATTGTGTCTCACATTTGTATGGCATCCTTGATGGTTTACAAATCCTCTCCATATTTGCTACCACAATTATTCATAACACCCTCAGGAGGTAGGTATTATTAGTGATATACTTATGTATAAGGTACAGTAAGTGATTTTCGAACATGTTATTTCCCCCCAAGAGTCTATAGCTAATAGGTAGCAACACAAGGGCACTCATACTATGATTCGACTTCGATAAATGCTTGTAACACTACGGGACATCTGCATGAATGGAAGAAAGAGCAGGCACTTCCTACCACCTTCCACAGTGGACAGCATGAATGCAGGTCATCACTGGTTTTTACCTACATACTACAACCCACGGTGCAAGAGGTGGTTCAAGGCATTCTATCTAACTATCCAAAAGAGCTATGAAAGCACCACTAAAGCAAATGGTCCTGATCTCAGTCCAATGGATGACAGTCCCACGATGCGCCTTGCAGATCTTCTGGATTAACACTTCCAGGTCCTAGTTATTACGTTTTCAAGTTCCTAGTAGCTAAACGTAAAACAAACAAAAAACGCCACAAAAGTATAGTACCAACAGTTTCTCTCTGGATTTCACTAGTTTTTTTACGCATCAGATCACACAAATAGATTGATCTGGAATCATTCTCTAATTTTTAGATAAAGTCAACTCTAGAGTGCAAAGTGGACCTTAAAGCTTCTAAGCCGTGGCTTGGGGGTATTGTACTACCATGGCTTCATTAGGTGAATCCAGAAAATGAGTAGAATTGTGTGTGCAGCAGTATTGTTTAGAATGCACCTAATAAATTATAGGTTGAATGATGTTAGGAAATAGCTCCTTGTGGGCATATACGGAGCTGAAAAATTAAAATGGATCCCCTTTTATTTTTTACCATCACTGTATGCTTACATTAAAAATTTTTAAAAAGATAGTACCTCAGAATCCCACGGTGACTCTGTTTCTTCTTCTTCTTCTCCTAATCCTAATATTGACATCATACCTGTAAAATGTAGTTATAGATACATTAATGAGAGCATCTAATACTGTGAATATATGTATATTTATGTATGTATGTATATATATATATATATAAATGGCATTTCAATAAAGTAAAAGGTTGAAGCAAGTTAGGAAAAAGTTGTTGTTCGTAATAGCTGAGAGAATTATGAAAGGAACAAGCTAAAGGGAAATATTTAAATGACACAGATACATTTGGATCAGCACACTTTCATGTAGCACTTAAGCCTAGAAAACTTTTTAGTTTGTCAGTAACTTACGGGTTGAATTATCCTCTTGTTCTCCACTGATGTAAGTCACGAAGCCATTATCCATTTGCTCTCGTTCGGGAACTTTAATAATAGCAACACTACTTTTCTTTTGTCTAGTTTCTGACTTTGTTTCCTCTTCCTACAATTAGAAAAAAGAAAGCCAACTTTAGAAAACAATCTATTCATTCATTCACTCTCTCATTCAATCAATCTACCAATAAGGCAACAAACACTACAACAGAAATAAGAAACTTTTTTGCCCTATACACTAGTGGTAAGGGTGCTCCCTAAAGTGGATTCTGACTCATAGCGAAGCCTACAGGACGAACAGAACTGCTCTCTAGGGTTTCCACGCTGTACACCTTTAAGAGCAGACGTGCCTGCCTCACCTTTCTCCTGAGGAGTGGCTGGTGAGATTAAAGGGCTATCCTTTTGGTCAGCAACCCAATGCTTAGCCTCCTGAACCATGGGAGAGAGCTCTTTGATGGGGGAAATGGCAAGAGCCACACTCACTGTCAAGTCGATTCCAAGTCATAGTCACCCTACAGGGCGGGGTAGGACTGCCCCTTTGAGTTTTGAGATTGTAACTTTATGGGATTAGAAAGCCCCATCTTTCTCCCAAATAGGGGTAAAGATACATTTTTTTTAAAAAGGAAATACAGAAAAGTATCCTTATTTTCCTACAATATATTTGGTGCAGAGTAATTGCTCTGCTTAAAAACTATCAGTGACACTTCCTTTTACGGGAAGGCGAAAGCTTACTCTCAATAACTGTATTCCAAATTGACCACCTTTCTTTAGTACCTATCCTTCCTTGACCGTGCTTTTCTCTCACGCCTCACCCTGTGCTCGGGCTACGATGTCCTTCACACACACTTTGTCCACCTTTCATGACAAGCCCCATCTTGACAGCATTTAGTACACTTCCCAGGTAGAACTTTTGATTCCCGCATACCCTTACTACAGTATCATTCACTCATTTTACAAATTAAACTAACAAATTACAGCGAAAGATCTGTTCTCCTAAAACCCCACTATTTATTTTGTGCTTCTATACAGATCTCTCTCATCTCAATTCTGTTAATTTATTCAAATGCCTTATTCAATTTTTCTTATTCTCTTATTCATCTTACTCTCCTTGAATGAATTTCCCCCTGGAATTTCTTGTCCTCTTTACACTCCTCGAGGCCTGTGTGAGGAACTTGTTCCCTGTTGGTGCTGTCCGACTGCTTCCTTCCACAAGGGCACACCAAAGAATTGCCTCGTCTCATCAACCTTTTCTAAATCTCAATCCTTTATGTTCCCTATGTATTTCTACTACTTTTATATTATTATCTTCAGGAATTCCATTTTTATCTAAAGTGCTTTCCGTTCTTAAGCTAATGGACAATTAAAAGCATGGGGGCCAATACATGGAAAAGTCTAGGAAAAAGGCAAAAACAAAACAAGCCACATTTTACCTTTGTGACATCTGAAGTTGTTAACTTAAAAGGCACATCAGACGATGGAATGGCTGGCCAGGGACTCTCCTTGACGTTCACTGGTGTCTTCGGAGGCGTTTTAGGCACACCTTCCCCTCCATTATCATCACTATTGTTTGTGGTAGCACAAGAACACTCCTTGACTTTCACTGGCCCCTTAGAAGGAGTTTCAGACACACCTTCCCCTTCACTATTAGAATGATTGTCCGTACTTGGAGGAGCATATGCAGTGACGTTAATTTTTCTCTCAGGAAGAGTTTTCGATACACCTTCACTGTCGCTATTAGAATGATTGTCCTCGCAACTCCTCCCACTTAATGGTTTCAGAAAGGTAGTTCCACCTGCTACAAAGCAAAAGAAAAGAATATGTGAAAATAACTACGATTTCAAATCTGAGACTAACGCACAAAGGGCAAATCTTCAAATAGCTTACTCTGGTTCCTCAATCGCTGAGACAGCTGAAGCAACTTCACTAAGTTGGGCTTTGGGGAAACCTAAGGGGGGGCGGGATTTTAATAACAAGTATTACAATAGGTAAAATGTTATCACATTCACTATTAAATCTGATGGAACACAAAGAGCATAAGACTTGGAGTCATTTAGATATGGACCCAAATCAGACTTCTGCCACTGACGAACCCACATCTTCTCATGGGGTGTGAATTAATAAGAACATCCCCAAAGTGCCGCTCCCCTTCCTTCTAGTTTCTTATATAAGCACCATGCTATCCATTATATCCTTTTCTTAATCAGAATAACATACAACAAAAATCTACCATGGAGTGGTATTATTTCTAAATATTAGTTATTATTTTTAAATACCAGCAATAGAAAATTTAAATGTTATATTTTAAAACATGTGTAGCTTCATGTTTGCCTGGTTTTATCTGGTCATTCAAATGAACTCCTGTGAAGGAAAATGTGAGAGTTTAATTCCTACTGGCGTCTTATTTAGATGAATTGGAAGCACAGTAAATTCCTTCTGTTTCCCAAAAGGCTGAGGATGAGTGGCTGTATCGGTTCAGCTCCTTACAAGGGGAGGGGAATAAACTTTTTATGAATGAGAATGTGTGCTCCCAGAAACACACACACACATATGGACATGTACATACGGACACAGCAACTAAACAGAAAGTGTAAATATGCTGACAAAGAAGCTAGAAAAAGACAGGCAGAGAGAAGAAATACTTAAATGTTTCCACGAGAGGAGAAGTAGGCTAGGGGTAAACAATTTTTTGTAAGGTGGAAGGAGGAAAGATGTAAGGAGGAAAAAAAGACACGCCCAGTACAAGTTCCGGAAATCTAGTATAAGTTCAGGAAAAAAAGAAAAACACAGCACAATAAACAAAAAACAAAGAACTACTTTATAAATATTAACTATTTAAAGAGGTAATTAGTGAGAAGACTAAATAACATCTTTTTTGCATATAGAAGCAGTTTATTTTTAGCACATCTCAGCCAACTCTTTTGTCATCTAGCATGCGTGTTTCCTTCCTTAGGCTTGATGGTGTGTCTTTGCCTGTGACAGGGCCCTGTGTTTGTCCCTTTCCTCATCGATGACCTTCACGGCGCTGGGATGTACATGTAGGCCTTTCCTCCATCCTGAGTTCATTTTTATAGAGGGTGAGATATGGGTCCCCTTTCCTGCTTCTGCAGATAAAGATCCAATTTTGCCAGCACCAGTGATTGAAGTCTCTTTCCCAATTAAGGTTTTTTTGACCCTTTGTCGAAAATCAATTGTCTACAGCTGGATGGTTTTTATTCCTTGGTTTTTTAGCTCGCAAATCTTTTTGTTCAGTTTTAACAAAGGTAAAAGGCAAATAAAGAAATAAACTACAAGAGTCACAATAAAGTTCAGTTAGTCATGTTTTATAAAAAAAATTAACAGCTATTTATTACAAATATAGAATAGACCATCGCTAAATGGTAGACCATTACTAAATTTTAAGAGTAAAAACTACACAAAACTAATTTCATGAAAAAGCACTTTACCTTGGGTTCCAAACCAAAGATGTCATCATCTGATGAAGGCCAAGAATCATCAGGGCCAGAATTTTTGGAAAGGCTTTGGAAGAAAAATATACAGCAAAAATAAGTGAGTTCAAAAATAAGAACCTAATGCCAGGGGCTTAAGTGGAGAGGAAATGTTTTGAGAAAGATGAGGGCAATGAATGTACAAATGCACTTTACACAATTGATGTATGTATAGATTATGATAAGAGTTGTATGCGCCCCTAATAAAACGATTAAAAATAAAAAAAGAAAAGAAGCCTTGGTCAACAAATGTACAAATGTGCTTGACACAAAGGATGGATGTATGGATTGTGATATGAGTTGTATGAGCCACCAATATAATGATTTTTTTTTAAGTGAGTTCATTTCTTTGAAAACAAAAACAAAAAACTAGCAAAATGTTGGCTATATACCATATTTTCACCAATAAGATGAGCATCCTACATTTTTGCCAACTAACCATCCTCTTCCCCACTCACATATTTTCAAAAGCACCCTATACTAACTTTTAAAAAATACTGGTGTAATAGGAGGTTACAGATTATACTGTTGTAAAAAAATTTAGCATAGTACACTTCTGAAAATACTGGACGGGTGTAAGAAGGTGACAAAAAATTTGTGGAACGTGCATAAAAATATGGGTATACACTAAGTGCCATTTTCCCCTAAAATGTTAGACTTTCTTTGAAAAGGCAGTGGGATCTATTTCTGTCTTCACCTCTCCCACCCTGGGAGACAGTCAGTGCAGACTCACTCTTAAGCCCCTTAATAAAGAGAAATTGCCACTCAGAGCCTGAGAATGATTTGTCTTTGCCCAAAGTCTTGGGTACGGAACCAAAAATTACAACCAATCACTGACTGAATGTTTCCTTTCTAAATCTGAGCAAAACTGATGGACGAAAACAAGGTGGAAAGAAAGACACACTGTCCCTCGTCCATTGTCTTTCTTGGTTCAAAGACAAAGGTGTGTCGGCCAAAATGGCAACCTTGCTTCTGCAACATGGAACCAAAAGCCAACCCACAGCTATGAAGCTGTTTCCAACGCTATAAAGCATGAGGCTTCAGGAGTGTCCAAGACTGAAATCTTTATGGATGCAGAGTGTCACATCTTTCCAGTCCTATGGAGCTGCTGATGGGTTAGAACCATCGACCTTTTGGTTGGCAGCCTAGTACTTTACCCACTCCTTCAGGGCTCCTTCAGCATGGAAGCTACTTATAAAGAAGGCCAAGTCACTGCTCCCATTTTTGCTCTTTACCCTAAAACAATACAGGAAAGGCCCTAAGATATTTGAAATGGGTGAAAATTAATTGTATGAAAGTCAAAGACAAACTATATGCTATTACTCAAAATACTGTTCCCAGGAAGACGAATTCACTGGAAAAGTATAAAATCTAATTTTCTTTTCCTGCACAGGTCTTGCCTTATTCTGGACTACATAAACTAACAGTTCCCTGGTCATTGAACATCTATTTTCCTAACCACCGTTGAGATAGCTTCCTGCCTGTGGGCTCCATTCTTGTATCCCTCTTCGGCAGGCTTCCCTGGAGTCTGCAGTCCTTGCAAGTTCAGGCTACGGAGGAACAAAGGTGGGCTCAAATGATTCAGAGTAAGAGCTCTCCTTGCTACTGACAAAGTTGCTAAATGGAGTCTCAATCACTCATCCCCAGCATTAGCATGTTACCAAGGGCGAAATGAAGTTCTATGATTAAGCTCCCAGCCAAACTTACCCTCGACCCCTTTTCTATACACACGGGAAGGACAGCAGCAGGTGGGGAAAGAAGTCAAGTTAAGAGGATGCCTGCCCTGGAGCACAGATCTCTGTAATCCAGCAAGCTCCAGCACCCTAGAGTGACACCCTAGACAGCCATGTCAGCCTCTAGCCTTGGGGTGGTAGTAGGTAGTAGCACATACCTGTCTGCTATATAGACATCACATTCCTATCAGCTGCGAAGAGGCTCGTTATTTTAACATCTTTCAATAGAAATCTTGAGTTTGTTAGATCCTTTGATTAAAAGCAAACAAACAAAATATCCAGCAACCTACTCAGGACTCCCTTGAATCCCCTAATTTAAATGCCTTTCTAGGTAACTTCCCACACCTTCTACCCTTCACTCTTAGAATGTATTTTCCTCAAAATTGTCACAAACCCAATCAATAATTCTGATATCATTTCTAAAACTCTCATTCCTATCCAAGCCAGTGCTGTTACTCTTCAAACTCACCCTCCCCTGCTAACTCCATTCTTATCTTCTTCCACTGTGTTCATTAGACCTATTTCCCCATCATTCTGTTATTAAAACACCCACCTACAGAATGATAAAGAATGAAAAGCACTGGGATTCGATCTAGTAAACTGAATTCAAATCTCATCTCTGGCACTGACATTGAATATGATCCAGATAAGTCACAGTTATGCTGAGTTTCAGGTTCTCTGCCTAAACAGCCACTTGGCAAAAATGCTGAACAGAGGTGGAAATACTAGATGGTGTCTTGATAAATTAATCTCTAAACCCACTGCCAGAGTCCTGGTGGCACAGTGGGTTTCTCGTTGGGCTGCTAACCTCAAGGTGAGCAATTCAAAACCACCAGACTCGCCGAAGGAGAAAGATGAGGCTGCCTCCTGCTGTAAAGCTTTCCAGTCGTGGAAATCCACAGGGGCAGTTCTGTTCATGCTGTAAGTCACGTGAGTAAGAACAGACGCAGGGGCAGTGAGAAACCCACGGCACTGACTCACAGGAACTCGACAGAGAGTAACCAGGACCATATATTTGACGAGAGCAGACAGCCTCATTCTTCTCCTGCAGAGCGGCTTGTGGGTTTGAGGTTAGCAGCCCAATGAATAAGCATAAACACACACCATCACCAGGGCAGGGTGCCTTACTTTCTGTGACTCCCTGAAACCTTGAAATGCTATGTCCTTATCATTTTATCTAGAGAAAAGGAGGAATAATACTTAGCTGGCAGAAATAAAAAATATAAAAGAAAAGCAGAGGAACATCTAAAAAATTAGAGACCAGTCATAAATGAATAAAAACTATTCTAGGGAAAAATTTAAGTGTCACACAAAACTAGGCAAGAATACAGATCTGGATCAGAAGCAGAGCAAGAAAGCTCCTAGACTGGCGAGGGGGAGCCTTCATCTCACCGGCTGTTATCAGGAGAGAACAGTTCCTAGAGAAGCACATCGTGCTGATAAAGCAGAGTGTCAGGGACAACGAGGAAGACCTTCAGAGATGGGCTGACACAGTGGCTGCAGCAACGGGCTCCCACACAGCCGCAGTGCTGAGAATGGCACAGGACCAGCTAGTATTTTTGGTTACATACAGGGTCCCTACCAACTGAAGAGCACCTAACAACAACACTAGCACAGCTACTTTACAGAGCTGTTGGGATTACTGTCTGATGTAACAAGTGTTAGGCACATTTTAGGGCTTTAAAAAGGTAAGAGAAAATGGAATTAGAAGGTTTCACAGTTTTTCCATGAACTTTCTGAAGCATCCTTGAATTATGGTATCTAGCCCAGAGTAAAACACTCAATAAATGTTAGCTTCTCTTCTCTGCATCCCTCTTTTAAAAGAGCTGGAAAATCTTACCTGGTTGAAGGCTCCTCTTCAGATATCTCTTCCACTGTTAAAGAAAATGGTAAAATTACATTTAAAAAAAAAAATTACATTTTAAACCAGTAATAGAAAAATATAGGATAGAAAAAGTATAAGACGCTGATGCTTAGTTACACAGTATTCCTCTAGGATCACACCTGGAGACTATACTTTATGGAATTAAATAGTAATTATACTATTGGTAGTCCACTGATAGATTAAGACCTCCCTCTCCTCTGCACTTATCATTTTATCTACATAAGAAATGGAGAATATGATTTATCAAAATTTGATAACCTATAACACTGCTATTTACAATTAGCAAAACCTAATGAACCTAATCTTATCACTTTTCAGACTACAGAAAATAATATCATTAGTAGAATCAGTATCTTAAACAGTCACCGCCAAACTTATATAGCATGTTTTTTCTGGATTTCTACCACAAGAAGGAGTTTGAAGAGAGGAAATTTATTTTGTTGTGCCATAACACAATTTCTTCCACTCTTGAGCCAATGTAGGACGAAGCACCCTATTATCAGGAAGATGAGCCTTCTATTACCATGGAAGACAGCAAGATTTAGTCATTGTGAAGACTGACGATGAAGGGCAAAATAACAGCCTATTATTTTGGGTATTATTCCCAAAATTAAACTATATGAAAATATATAAAGCAAAAATTTTTAATTCAGTGCTTAGGAAATATAGAAATGATTGAGTACTTTATTTTTATCTATATAGATAAATTTAGTATAAGGCTGGACCACAAGTCTGGCTATATCATATAATTTGCTAGTGAAAATTTTAAGAATCAACACTTACGTCTCAATTATAATTGCTGTGCAGAAAGGAGTTTGCACAGCAGGTCTGAGATTGAAATTCTTGGAAAGACCTATCACCAGGTCGGTCATTGGCTGGTAGTTGAAGAGGGCTCCATCATTCCCAAAATGATAACAGCAGTTCACTGTGCCCAAGTTATAGTGCACACCTGCTTTCCTTGTGGGAGTCTGGAAATGCGCATGCAAACCAAAGGGTGTCCACATGCCCAGTCCCCAATAAAAACCTTTGGCACTAGAGTCTCTAACTGAACCCTGCTACTGACAAGACAACATTTTACCTGGGCTTTCATCCATCATTTGATGCTGGCAAAACAAACTCCACGAGGAGAGGAATCTCAGGAGCTTGTGCCTGGGTTTCCTCTGGACTTCACCCACATGCCTTTCCCTGGATTTCTTTTGCTTTGTATTCTTTTCTTGTGGTAAATCACATCCACAAACACAACTATATTCTGTGCCCTGTGTGTCCTACAAGTGAATCACTGAACCCGGTGGATAATTTGAGAACCTCTGACACAATTACATTCAATGGAATTTTCATTATTTGGTTTGATGTGTTATATGTGAATACAATCAGAATGTATTATCACAAATTACATGCAACTGTGTGTGACCTCCTCCCTGGGGGACAGACAACCGAAAAGTGGATGAAGGGAGATGTCGGACAGGGCAAGATATGACAAAATACCCATTTATAAACTATCAAGGGCTCATGCGGGAGGGGGAAGCGGGGAGGGAGGGGAAAAATGAGGACCTAATGTCGGGGGTTTAAATGGAGAGAAAATGTTTTGAGAAACGATGTACAAATGCGCTTTACACAATTGATGTGTGTATGGATTGGGATAACAGTTGTATGAGCCCCTAATAAAATGTTAAAAAAGAAAAAAGAAAATGATGACTTAAATATAAAAATTAAAAAAAAAGTACCTTTTGTGTTGTGTGTCTTCGGTAAGAATAGATTTGGGGATGGCTTTGGTCCTGAAGTCATTACGGAATAAATAATACAATAATGTTAAAAATAATGTAAACCAAGCAACAACCTGATTTTTTTTATCGTTTTATTAGGGGCTCATACAACTCTTATCACAATCCATACATGCACCAATTGTGTAAAGCACATTTGTACATTCATTGCCCTCATCATTCTCAAAACATCCGCACTCCACCCAAGCCCCTGGCATTAGCTCCTCGTTTTTCCCCTCCCTCCCCGCTTCCCCTTTCCTCATGAACCCTTGATAATTTACAAATTATTATTTTGTCATATCTTGCCCTGTCCGATGTCTCCCTTCACCCACTTTTCTGTTATCCATCCCCCAGGGAGGAGGTTATATGTAGATCCTTGTCATTGGTTCCCCCTTTCCAACCCACCCTCCCAGTATCGCCACTCATACCACTGGTCCTGAAGGGATCATCCACCCTGGATTCCCTGGGTTTCCAGTTCCTGTCTGTACCACTGTACCTCCTCTGGTCTAGCCAGATTTGTAAGGTAGAACTGGGATCATGATAGTGAGAGGGGAGGAAGCATTTAGGAACTAGAGGAAAGTTGTATGTTTCATCGGCAACAATCCGATTTTTTAAATTATTATTTTTTAAATTTTCCACGCATCTTTATTCATTCCTCAAAGCAAATAAGCACCATCTCCCCTCCCACCTTTTAAAATTATTTTATTGGGGGCTAACAACCCTATTTTAACTAACATGGAAGACACTGAATCTTGTTAATTGAGAATATAGTCTACAGTATGAATGCTCTTATAAGGAAAATGAAATAATCACACAATTTTATCCAACTTAACAGAGCTTAATTCCTTTTTATAACAGTTTTGTGATAATCAGGTAGCTGAAAAGACATATAATTGTAGAAAGATATGTTCATCGTACAATATAATAATGTACTTCTGATTACAGAGTTCCTTTTCTAAGTATTTTCTTTATTTTTCCTAAAACTAAAGTCAAAGGTTTACCTATCAAAGGCAGCGGGTGACAGACCAAGTCAAAATATGGATGAAAACACACACCATTGCTATTTTCTAAATGAGCAGACTTTAAGTAAAACAAATTGTTTTGTAAACAAATTGTTTAAGTAAAACAAATGTGCAGAAAAAGTGAACAGTATTTTGCAGTGACTAATACTTTACCGATTTCATATGAATGGGTGAAAACTTCCTAATGGACTGATCATTGTCCACCTTTTGGTGGTGGAGGAGTTATGGATTTCATAACTGCAAATATTTCGTCTTCCTGGCTCTTGACTTGGTTTCCCTCGGTCTATCTTTTACATGAGGGGTAAAAAACTAAAATCCATATACCAACTCCAGTCTGCTTTCAGTTTCATAAATAATTTTTATTTTATTTGAACACAACCATGCCTATGTATCTTCTATGTTTTCACACGACAACTGGAGAGCTGAGTAGATGTGGCAGAGACCAGAAATTCATGCAAACTCTAAAATTTATTATCTGGTCCATTACAGGAAAACTTTGCTGATTCCTGCTTAATCCCACAAACGGAGGGCTCGAATCTTATCTTGTTACTGACACCTCAAAACACTTCACTGAATCCCTGCGGGAAACAGTGCAGGCTCCCTGTCCAATGGCCATCCCTTAATCTTTCTTACTGCAGAACTGCAAGTCTTTTTAGATATGTTTCACTCCCAAAGAAAGCAGTATCTACCTACTTCTAAAAAGAGAAACTGGTATTCTACGACAATCACAGTAAGTATATTTCCTTGGCCAGTGACTGGTTTAGGAATGAGCATGTGATGCGCCCCCATCAGTAAAATGTTAGTGGATGTCTGATGCAAGTTTCTGAGTTTACTCCCTGTTTAAAGGAAAGATGGAGAAATGGATCCCCCCCACCCCCATGCCTTTGGATACTGTCATGTGAGAATGTGCAGCTTGGAGCTGATTAAAAGGAGGCACAACCAAATTACAACAGCAACACAAGTCAAAGAGGGAAAACATCTGGATCTGAATCACAACCCCAAGCCACTCAAACTCCAGTTCCCCTACGGCTTTAGTCGCGGCTAGTTGGGCCATCTGTTCTTTGTAGGCAAGGCGTTCTGATAAGCTTCCAACGGCCTACAGGATGGAACAGTCTTCCATGGGCGTGCCTTGGCTATGGATTCTCTGTGTTCCCAAGCACTCCCACATCACTTTTTGTACTAGCTAAAGGGATGTGCTCATGCACCTGAATCAGGCATGTCATGAAAAGTGCACTCATGCATCGTAGCCTTTGTACTTGTTCCTTTCCACCAAACACGCGTCCTTCATAGATGTTCCTTTGTGCCAGCACTGTCCTCTTGCCTCTTTATCTCACAAACTTGAATTCAGACAGCTAGCTAACCTTAAATTCTACCCACCTTTTAAAAGTTCCTGTTGCTAAATGTGTGTCTGCCACGTAGTGAAGACTAAATATAATCCATAGATCATTATAGTCATAGACCCCTGGATGGTATCTGGCTCTCGGTGAGCAATGAGTAAAGTAGAATAAAAAATAAAAATAACATTAATAGCAACTAGTAACTGAAGGGCAGGACTCTAATATTTGTATTCTACAGCATTAGGCTAATAGTTAATATCTGAAATACACTTCATAGTTATTTGTGAAGTGAACACGAAGCTATCACATGGGGTCTCAGAGGTCATAATTAAATAAATATATTCCTTTTGAAACAACAGTTTCAGAATATAAGGTGCCTACAATTGAATTTTTAAATAGTCCTATATTCTAGACTATTAAATGTGAAAATGAGTACTGCAATTTCCACACTAATTTTTTAAAGGCTTTTATGACAAGCACCAAGAGTACCATCATTCTCAGAAGTTTTACCTTGTTTTCCATTTTGATCAGGATATTTATGCTTCAATTCTTCTTTGTACTTATCCATTTTTTCACGATAGCTATGTATTAAAAAATGAGAGTATTACTATTTTAATTTTGATATGAAGATATTTACCAAGTCTATTAAAAATTCTTAGAGTATTTAATGTTTTAGCATTAACTCAAAACTCTAGCCCACATACTTCGAAGTTGTACCACATTTTTCACATAAAGCACCCACACAAGCACACATATAACATGCAGAGCACACACAGAGAACTAATGCGGAAGGGGGTTGTGTTGTTTGGAAAAGCTGTGTAATATTTGCATAAAAACATGGTAAGCTCTATAAACTTTTTATTAGGCTTTACTTTAAAAAAAACAAAAAAATATATGACCCTGGATTGATGACAGTACAGTTCAGCGAATTAACTGGCCTTGCCTGACATAATGGGAAATATCCCGGGAGCAGAAGCAGTGCAAGTCCTGCAACAAGCAGCAGTAGACAAATACATTCTCTGTTTGCTCTAGATACGTCACTATTCTTAGGTCCAACATGCTAGGCTATGAGACACAGAGATCTTATCTCCTCTTACATAATGTTGGTAGGAAGACCCAGTGAGATATGATAAAAACAAAAATGTTCATAGAAATGGTGAACAGAGAACCCTAACCCTACCCCTAATATAAACCCTAACCGTAACCTTAACCCTACCTCTAACACATATCCTAACCCTAAGTCTAACACTAACCCTAAACCTAACCCTAACACTAAGTCTACCACTAAAAAAAAAAGAAATGGTGAACGGAGAATAATTTATTTTTGAACTTCAGTGCTGAAAATCTTTTAGGTTCCAGTGAAACTCATTGTGTTTATGTGTGTTTTTCCACAGGCTCTATTTTGAAATGTTGTATTTTTTTTTTTAGAAAACATTATTAAGTATAATGTTGGTTATTATTGGTTCTATTCTTTGGTTTTTAATTTCAGGATAGCTCAACAACTATGTGATTTGTAACTAAATTTATTTAGTGTATGAACATATTAACTCAGTAATTAGGTAATATGATTCCCCACTACTATTATTGCAAGGGCAGAAAATTAATAGAGGATAAGACCTACCGTGAACAACTATTTTCTGCATTACACATAATAACTTCTAAACTACCAGATAATTAAAATGATGCTTAATCGCCAAGTTCATGTTCGGTTGACTTGGAAGATGGAATCCTATCTTTATATTGAACACCAATAAATCATGACTGTAACATAGCTCTTGTAAACCCAACGAAGACAACTAGATGCACAGAATTTGATGGAATGGCCTGCCTCCTGAGTCAAAATTTTAAATTATGCTTCTCTGAAAACTAGAGGTAGAGACCACTTGAGGGGCCAGGCTGAATTATGAAACTGAAGGCAAGTTGGCCCCCTAATCTGGGAGCAAGACAAGGAACTCCAAAGGGTAAAATGGGGCTTGGTCTACAGATCTGGTAACAATGAGGAAAGGAAACTCCGAAATTCTCCTGCAACAGTGCTCGCCCCGCTTTGCAGCTTAGAATGCTTCCTACTGACAACTGCTAGCAAGAAGGTAAACACGGGCCTCCAGGGTCGGTTGCTACGAAGGTCTGGGCGAGGACGTGGGCTCTGCACCATCCGGTGCCGAGCACAGGGAAAGGGGAGTTGGCTCCTGGGGGTGGCAAAAGCTCACAGGGCCAATTGCCAGACCAGGATGCTGGTGCGCTGGGAATACTGACTGAATAGATAAACGTATGTGAACTACGAATAAATAAATAAAGAGCGGCAACTTTGACATCTAATACTACAAGAGACCTAGATCAGGAAGGGCATCCTTGAGAGCAAAGGCCAATCATGGCCAGACAGCAGGGCCGGGTTCATTAGCAATGCTACAATAAGAATAGAAACAAGAGAATGATTAAAATGTCCTCCCCTCACCACCCCCGTGTGATGTGTGATAACCCCTGGGGGGGTCTTGAAAATTGTAATGGGGAGGGTATGAGTTAGAATTTACTGTGAACCCAGACATTTTAGGAATCAAGTGATTCATTAGGAAAATTAAAATTAAAAGTGACCCTATTCTATCACAGGCACAGGGGTTACACTTGGAATGTTAAGATAGGTCAGTCAACAGTCCGAGAAATCTTAACGACTTCTGTTCCATAAGGACCTGGCATCAACGGATCCTCCGAAATGCCTGGTCTTACAGAGAAGTCCTCTTTGCTTGGTTTCTGACTGCCAATTTGGATCACTCATTGTCATTCCACGACTCTGACCAAACTAAGAAGCTACATCAGTTTTGTATAAGAAGTAACAGTGTACTTGTAAATCTCAGTTCTTGATAATACCTAATTACTTACAAATAACTATTTATATTGTAAACAAAAATACGAAACCACTAACAGCAGCATATTTGTTTACGGTGCATGCAAACATATCTTGAACAAAGACATCAGCACCTTTATGAAGTAGAAGCCTTACCAAGTTTGACAAGTCATAATTTACAGCAAGCATGAACGCTGTTCTAAAGTAACAGACAAATAACTTCATCCTTAAGAACCGTAGTTATGAACACGACTGTTTGATAGACTTTACCAAGCTAACATCTTGCCTGTCTATGTAGACTTGATTATTTATAGGTACCAAGAAACATAAGCATCTTGGATGTCTTGGGTGATCTTTGTGATTTACCTGTAAGACTACAAAGAAGGGACAAAAAGAAACCCTCTTGTCCCCTGGTGTATTATACACATGGCAGAAGGTTAAAGTCATTTGGTGGACAAGAAAGAATGTTGAGGTCACTTGTCTGAAGTAGGAAAGTATTTTAATGAAAAATGTTCTATTTCATCCATATACTGTAATTCAAAGTAAGCTAGAGATAAGATAAATGAAAGCATAAAACAATAATATTAATAATAATGACAATAATTATACTCATTATATCAAAAAATCAAACACACAACCATTGAGTTGATTCGAACTCATAGCAATACCTTTCTAGGGTTTTTGTGATTATAAATCTTTATGCACATAGACAGCCTCATCTAACCTTGTAGCCACGACCCCAATATTTGCCTATAGTACCACCAAGTCTCCTAGTAGTCTAAGTAGCTGCAGTTGATGACACTGAGCTAAATGGCTCTTACACTCAATCACTTTTCTCTCTTTTCCCAATAATTTTATTGGCATGATTCATATATCATACAATCCAATAGTTCAATCGTAGCAAGAAGAGTTGTACAATCAACACCATCGTCCATTTTAGAATGTTTTCTTCATTCTTGTACTCACTGTTAATAAGTCATCCTTTCTCCCCCAACTCCCCTTCCATACTCCGCACAAGGAACCACCAACCAGGTACTGCCTCTGTAGTTACCTCTCCTAGATTTCATCTGATCACTACTTTCAGAGTAAGATTTTTATCATGCCTTTGATAAAATGTCACACAACAATTTCTACACAAATTGTATACTAAATTAATTACATTTTATTTTTTTTACAATTGTCTATATTTTCTTTTATTGTGTTCTGGTTATTCATTTCCAGTATACAAATTTTAATATACAAAGCAGAGTTCCAAAATATAAAAATAACATAAAGGTTAGAAGTTTAATATTATAACATAAAATAAACTAAAAGTGAGTGTGCATTATAAAATTAATATAAAAAAAATAAAAAATAAAATTAATATGAAACCCTTTTAGTTTATTTAAGGTCAGAGGACCAAAAAAATGAATCAATATTAAAAAAATGCAAGTCTCACTATATTCTGTACTTCATGTTGTATAGTCAGAATTATGTTTCTACCTGAATGGTGTTTTATGTTGATATTTTCTCTATATATAAATAATTACAAATTAATCATCATCTTATCATTTACTCGTTCTGAGTTGATGATTGTTAACCTCTAGGACACTATGATTAAAGGAGAAAGAACTACTGAACCTTTTTGCCTTATCCACTGCACGTATATCGGCTTTATTCTCCATTAGAAAGGCCACCATTTCCTCCTTGTTTTCATTTATGGCAAGTGACAGTGGTGTGAGGTCATCCTGTAAAGTAGCAAAAACAACTTATAATTTACAAAATTATATATTTCTCATCTGAATTGAAAACCTTAAAGAAGGTGCTACAAGGGTGTCAAAATTAGTATTACCAAGGCTCCAATTCAGACGCGCACAAGTACTTCCTAAGCATGTGTAAAGGCGCCTCTGCAACCAGCGAGGCTGCAGACAGGTGCTCTCCACCTTTTGTCTTCGCTCTTTGGGAAAACAGCTGGAGAGGTTTTCCCACTAAACTCTTTACCTTTTCTACCTCAAAGGGTTCGTTCCGTGTATCCAGGATGGTTAACGTTTCCTGGGTACACTGTAAGTTTTGTGGTGTCATAGTTTGTGTCTGGCTGGGACCGCAGCCTGGCCTGTGATTGGCATACAAATTGCAAGGCCAGGTCAGTGAGCTATACAAATGAAATGGCCATAGCCTACTATGCAAATGAAGTTTCTGTTGCCGACTGCAAGGCTTCATTTGATGCCCTGCCCCACCCCACAGGAGCAGCCATGTCTAAACCGTGACAAGCGGTGGTGGTAAATGTGCAGCCAACCCTACAAAGGTTTTTTGAGACAGAATAAGAAAGAGAAGCAAAAAAAGCAGAAGATGTAGAAGGAAAGAAGTGGTAAGGAATTTCCTACAAGAGTTTAACAAAGGCTGGAACACTGAAGGTGGCAACGGGCACCAGTGAGGCCTGGCAGCAGAACCAGAGGCAGGGTTGGTGGTCCCAGAAGAGTCTGTTTTGAAGGGGCAGAAGGACCTTGTCCTCTGGGGCCGACAGAACCTGTCCTGCCTGAGAGGAAGGCCTGCAAGGCCAAGAAGAGCAGTGTCATCCTGCCTGAAAGAGGCAGATTTTGCCAGCATGCTTCCTGATCCTAATCCCAAGTTGTAGCTATTGATACTGGTCTCGAGTTGTATGTAGCCTGTTATTTCCTTAGTCATAAGGCACTTAGCCATGAGCATGACCTCTGGGTTCCATGCGGCCATTGCAATAGATGACGCAAATCCAGAAGAGTCAACTGGTGTCAGAATTGGTACAAATGTGGAAGACTGGCCTGACCAGCATCTCACGAGAGTCTGCCTTGGGCTGATCTTGATCATGATCCGCCTTGACATTAGATGTATTCCGACACTAGTACTGATACAGGTGGAACAGTGAGCTTGCTGTCCATCCGTGCTGGAAACATGACAGGGTTTGAAAGTTGCTCTGTTTAACTCTTCATTTGCAGGAAAATCGAAATTTAACAACCACCCCCTAAACCCCTGCTAGCAGCAAAATTCCCTTTAAACTTAAGAAAGTTCTAATTCAGCAAGTTTGAAAGCAAAAAAAATAATAATAATAATAATATGGGCAAAGAAAACCTTTTAAGATAAGGAATGGAGGCTAAGACCTTGAGGGAGTGACAGGATGCCTCCCCTTTCTGTGACCCAGGCATCCTGAGTCCCCTGCTGTCGCCCCCTGCTGTCGCCCCCTGTATACTGAAACAAACCTGTGAAACATTCCCTCAACTTGTCAAATAGGTATAGCTTGCATGTCACTGAATTTCTGAAGCAATCTTGGGAGGTTTTAACCCTACTGCTTCCTTCTGTCTAGTGCTTACAGAAATAAACTTAGAATTTCTCGACTCCATCTGTTCTCTGTATTTGGCTAAAAGAGTGATAGGCATCCCAGACCTTATCAGCCAGCACCCTTTCACTTCCATCTGGACTGTGTAACAGTCACTGCCATTGGGTCGGTTCCGATCCATAGCAACCCTACAGGACAGGGTAGAACTGCCCTGTGCGTTTCCGAGACTGTAGTGTATGGGAGTAGAAAGCCTCTGATGCTTTTGAACTTCTGACCTTGTGTCCTCCCAAGGGGGAATGACTGAACACCAGGGCTCCTCCTAAGGACCCACACGACCTGAAATTCCTTGGTCTTATGCTGATGGGCTCCCTTATTCAGATGATTGGTTTTTGTCTTTGTCCTCTCAAAGACTTATTAAATTTATCTCTGGAAAATACATTTGATATATAACCAATGGGGAAAGCAATATGGCGCCATCTCTAACAATGAGATTAGAATACTTAATTTTGCTGGACAGAAGTCAAATAGGACGAGAAAGCTCAACTTGGAACTCGGTTTCATTCATGAGCTCCTTCTAATCAAGATATTCCAGGTTTAAGAATAGAGTCTAGGCGCTCATCTAAGTGGCAGTTTCTGCTAGAACAAGTGATGGTAAGCTGGTTTCTGTTCTTCCCGCTTGCTACTCAATCATCACTGTTCACTGCCAGTCCAGGTACCTCCGGGTCCTCCCCAAAGTGATCTCTAAGCAAGTTTACAACTCACTCGTTCTTGCCCAACCTAAGGATTACTATCCCTGAAGATTACCTTGCCTAAACCTGTAAAATAGGGAAAAAAGAAAACAAACACACAAAATACTTTTTTGGTATTTTCCCTCAATTATAAAATTTCAATAGTGGCTGTATAGTTCTGATTGTAATCTCCTTTTCATTTTTCTTCTTCTGCTTTAAGCTTTGGCTACTGAAAAGAATCACTTTTAGATGAATTTTGAATCTTTAACTAAAATGAGAACCCACAAGCTATAGTGATTATAAAACGTTTGTGTTTTACTTTTTAAATAAGCATCTTTCCAAAATAAAGTGTTGTCTTGTGTTGCTTTAAACTGATTAGAAACAAAAACAAAAACAACACTTGACTAGTAGTGACATGGATTGAACTGTGTTTTCAAAAACAATGGCTAACTTGTCTGGACTAGGATTCTCAGTGGCTTGGCAGTTTGCAGTGACATGATCACCCCATGATGTGACCAGCAAGTCAGCAGCTGTACGGAGAAGAGACCCTTATTCAGGTCACAGCCCTGGTTCAAGGCCAGGGGAGTTTCCTTGGGGTTTGGCCTGCACCACCTTTTATTTTACAAGATTGAAAATGAGAAAGAAGCGAGCAAAAGAGGGACTTTGTTACTGTCAACAAAGAAGAGTAGGGAGCAGACTTGGATCCTTTGGACCCAGGGTTCCTGCATTGAGAACCTCCCAGACAGCAAAGACGGATGGCACGTCACCTGGAACTCTGCAAGAAATGCTGTGCACACAGATGCCGAAAGGAAACATGGCTTTCTACTGAAACTGTAAGCCAAGAGAGAAGATGTCTTTCCATAGAGGTGGTGCCCTGAATTTGAACTTTTAGCTGGTCAGACAAGCACTGGGCGGCTAACCACAGATCCATGGGCAGTTCAAACCCACCAGCTGCTGCAAAGGAGAAAGAGGAGACTATAGCTCCCATCAAGATTTACAGCCTTGAGGTGAAACCCGTGGCCATGTATCAAAATGGACTCGATGGTAGTAGGTTAAGCAGTAAAGGACTAGGTTTCTGTTTGCTAAAGCCATCCACTTACAGCTTTTATGTTATGGCAGCAATAGCTAACTGAGACAGGGAGACTGAGATATTTGGAAAAAGTTTTACCTTGAACAACTAAATTCAGTGTTTCCCTCGAGTATTAGCCACAAATATATAAACGGCAGCTGTATCCTCAAATGTTTATTTTAGAAGTATCCCTTAAAGTGGTATATTCGGCAATTAAGTTTTTTTCAAAATATTTGCATTAAGAGAAGGTGCAAGTTTACAAATATGTACAATTGACCCTACTTATATCAGTCATTTAAAAAAAATCATTTCAAATATTTTATTAAAACAGTTCTTTTGTCAGTACCTTGTTTCTCGCTTCAACATCTGCACCATGAGAAAGCAGTTGTTCTGCTATTGATATGTCTCCAGAGGTAGCATAGTGGAGTGCAGTGTTGCCATCTAAATCCATCACATTCGGGTCAGCGCCATTTTCTAACAGAACAGCGACACATTCCTCTTCCTGGCACTGGACAGCCTGTCAGTGTGATAAGGAAAAGTGGAGTGCAAATTCCAATTAGAAGTAAATTTTCCATGCACTTACTAGACTAGCTCTTTTCCCCTTTGTTAAAGAGAAAACAATAGGTATTCTCAAGAATGTGGAAGAGCTGGAATCCTTATGCCTTGCTGGTGGCAACACAAAATGGTGCAGCCACAGTGGAAAACAATTTAATGGTTCCTCAAAAAGTTAAATACAAATATCCCCTATTAGGCATATGTCCAAAAGACTTGAATGCACGATTCAAATATGTATTTGTATACCAGTGTTCACTATGGCAGTACTGATAACAGCTGAAAAGTAGAAACGACCCAAGTGACCATCAACAGATGAATGGATAAACAAATTATGGTACAGTCATTCAATGAATACTACTCAAAGACAAAGCAAAATAAAATTCTAATACACACCACTGAATGAATGAACCTTACAAACATTTTACTATGTGAAATAAGCTAAACACTAAAAACAATAATGTATGATCCCACACTCAAATAAGAGTACTGGTTAATGGGTACAGAATTTCTGTTTGAGATGATCAAAAGTTTTGTTTAGAAAAAAAAGATGGCAAATAGTGCACAACTTTGTGAATATAATTCCACTGAAACACTCTTCAAAGTGCCCAATTTTATGTTTTAGTATACTGTATCTATTTTATATATTTTAGTACACTATATCTACCAAAATAAACTGTCTATACAAGACATTGCAAAGATTTTATGCTAGTTATATTTAAGTGACATAGATTAATTTTCATCCTAAGTATTCAAATCAAATTCGTTTCATACTGAAACTGCTGGCTACTACATACCTTCATCAGCGCTGTCCTGTTTTCACGGTCACAGAGGTTAAGGAAGCATTTTCTCTTTACTAAAACTTTTACGACTCCTACTTGGCCATTGGCACAGGCCAGATGTAGGGGAGTCCTATGAAAATAAGAGGACTTTTCAGAAAAGTATCCAGCACACTACTGCAGAATAAACAATTATTCAAGTGATGGTAAACATTAAACAGCATGTTATTCCTTTACCTTCAAATCAAAGACTTAATTTTCTTCTAAAGAAATTTAGATATTTGTGAGCTATAATCGCTTACTACATTAATGAAAGAGAAGCCTATTTACAAAAGGAAAGAAAAGGTATGTTAGGATTCAGTCCAAATTGGGTTTTAAATCCTATTTCATCCTGTCACTTATTCGCTACCTGTCAGCCCTTCTGTTCCTCAATTTCCACATCAATAAAATGAGGACTAAAATAATAACTAACCTACAGAACACCTCTGTGATGTGTACATAAGAATATCTGCAAAGAATTTAGAACAATTCCTAGTACAAGGGGCAGCTTAAAAATTGTGAACATAAATGTTAAGTATCAAGGTAGCAGATGGACATTGGGCCTCTACTCAAGTCTTCCCTCAATGCAAGAACACTTAGTTCTAATAACCTGACATTCTGTGATGCTCACCTTCCCAAAAAGATTGCTGAAGACAAAATGGGTGCATAAGCAAATGTGGTGAAGAAAGCTGATAAGGCCTGGCTATTAGATGATATAATGTCTTTGGCTCTTAAAGGCTTGAAGTTAAACAAGCAGTCATCTAGCAGGGAAGCAAACAAGGCCGCACGGACAAAGCACACCAGCCTGTGTGACTACGAGGTGTTGACAGGATCAGGTATCAGTAGACCTAAAACAATCGCAACAATCATATTGATGGGAACAAGGGGGTAGGAGTGGAGACAAAAGCCCATCTGTAGACAATTGGACATTTCTCACAGAAGGGTCACAAAGAAGGGATGAGCCAGCCAAGGTACAGGATAGCACTGATGAAATACTCAACATTCCTCTGGTTCTTCAAAGCTTCCTCCCCCACTATCATGACCCCAATTCTACCTTACAAATCCTGCTAGACTGGAACATGTACACTGGTCCAGATAAGAGCTCTTGACACAGGGAATCCAGGACAGATAAACCCCTCAGGAACAATAATGGGAGTTGCAATACCATGAGGGGAAGGGGAAGGTGGGGGGAGAAGGGGAAGAAAGGAGGAACTGATTGCAATGATCAATTTATAACCTCCCCGCACCCCCCAAGAGGGGCAGACAACAGAAACATGGGTGAAGGGAGACAGCGGATGGTGTAAGATATGAAAATAATAGTAATTTATAATTTATCAAGGGGTCATGAGGATGAGAGGGTGGGGGAGGGAAAAAAGGGGAGCTGATATCAAGGGCTCAAATAGAAAATGTTTTCAAAATGATGATGGCAACATATGTACAATTGTGCTTGATACAACTGATGTATGGATTGTTATATGAGCTATAAGAGGCCCCAATAAAATGATTTATAAAAACAACAACAAAATTGTTAACAATATTTTCGATTACTACTCGGTACTAAACAAAGACAATATTTCAATTCAGTAAAATGGCACAATTGTTTCTACTTTGCATACACATAGGAAGAATTATGAGAGAGTACTGAATTTCAATGAGTCTAAGGTGCTCATTTTTGCGAATTTTAACAATTTGGACACTGGAATGCAACATATAACTGATGGTATCTTACAACTATAATCAAAAGAAGTCTTAAAACTGTCTTATTGAAACAAAGTAGGACATCTTACAGACTAGAATGCTTTACATTAAGTAAAAGATGGTATGTAAAATCTATTGCCATCCTACTTATAGGGATAGCATTTAAATTTCTTTTTCTTACTGAGTTAGTTAGTTTATTGTGCCAACCTGGTCGATAAACACGTGTGGGGTTAATTGAAGGGTGGAGGGATAAATGGCTCTGTGGGCCTCGCCTTTCTAGTTCTCTGGTCTCTTGCTTTGTGATGGTCGGACCAGGGTGCAGCTTCCTTAGCTAGTTCCCTGCTTCAGCTTGCAAGGCTCACTTCCTGAACGACATCCCTGAGGAGAAGCCGCATGGACCTACCCCGATGCAGCCCTGGGTGCTGGAGCAGCCATGTGGAGACCCCTGCCAGCGCTGAGATGCTTACAAACTCACTGAATCAGCTTTCCTCCTGCAGTCAGCATCATGGCGTGTGTTTGTTGAGATGGAGGAGGACTTTGTGGATTAGTGTTGGACATATGGACTAATGTTGGACCAGTGGGCTTGGGCAGCACTGGGTTGGGATGTTTTCTTGATGTGCACTTAACCTCTATATAAAACTCTCTCTTTTATACAGATGAGTTACTGTGGACGTGTTTCTCTAAAGTACCCAGACAAACACACTTACAAGCAGTATGAGCAAGAGAGCTGAAATGTCACAAACATACAAAAAAGAAAAATTTAAAGAAAAAGTCATTATAACTTTGATTTTGAAGATGCTTTAGCTTAGCCAAGAAAACTGGAATTCAATTTATAGGTATGGCTCATTTTATTCATCTACAGAGTATACATAAATCAGTTATTTGCTATTATTAATATTAGCATTGAACACTGTTACAAATGCTCAAAGGGCAGTAAAAGCTTATCTTTTATAATTTCCTACCTTCAGAAACATCTTTTCTGAAAAGTTTCATATAACACTCAGTCCTAATACTTCCATTTTAAGTTCTCAACATGTTCACACTGAGCAGACAAATGTGACATTTTTAAGGATGAGACAGATCGAAGATGAAGTAGATTATATTTCCTAATAGATTTCCAGGCTCTGTTTGATGATTTAATGGACGTACAAGTGATTGAAGGAACAAATCAATTCAGTCGGGAAGTTCAACCAAAGAAAACTGATAAAATATGAAGTAGGACTCTCACAAAAATGGAAAGGCCTCCAAAAAGCAATGGAACACACAAATGCTGATATCCTGGTCATTAGTGAACTGAGAAGGACTGGTACTGGCCATTACGAATCAGGCCATCATGCGATTTACAATGCCAGAGATGACAAGTCCATGAGGAACAGCATCCCGTTCATCACCAAAAAGGCTATGTCAAGATCTATCTTCTAAGCACACTGCTGTCTGACAGGATAATGTCTGCACACATCCCAGGAAGCCTAGTTAAGACAACTACTATTCTAATTCACGGACCACCCGCCAAGCCTCTGGGAAAAACCACCAACTCACTGGCACCGAGTCAATTCTGACTCCCGGCCACCCCATCGGACAGGGTAGAACTGCCTCTGTCAGAGTCCAGGACGAGCTCTTCAGGGAGCAGCAAGCCTCCCCTTTCTCCCTCGGAGGAGCTGTTGGTTTCAGACTTATGACCTTGTGGTTCGCAGCCCCAGTCGAACCACTGCATCAGAATTCTACACACTCCTTTAGGCTGAAGGTGATCAAACTTGCCACCTAGATGCACTGGTAATTATTAAGGATTTGAATGTGTGAACTGGAAACAAAGAGGTAAGAAGGTGGAAAATATGGCCTTAGTGATGGATTAAAATACAAGCATAATGTTAATACAGAGTAATAAAAAGATTCCTTTCTGAAAAAAGCTAGACACTGGCAAAAGTTACTGATCCTCAACAACAAAAAATGGTAGAAATTGAGGAGATATTATTTCCATCTGTGCAAGATTCATATTCCTAATTTCCAAAGAATTCAGTAAGTATAAATTTATACTAACATTTTAAAAGTATGTTCACTATAGAAATTAAAGAAAAATTTACTTATAATACCAACACTTATAATTAATAACTTCTATCCCATTTTGTACATATTCCTGGCTAATAGAAGATCATAGTGTATACATAAAATCACATCAAATCAACCAATTTTGTTCTCACTTAATGATACATCAAATCATACATTTGATGTCAACATACATGTGTATTTCTGTCACCTTGAATGGTCGCATAGTATTCCATCAATATAGATGCTCTACAAACTATTAAACAAGGTGTATTTGTCTAAGGAGCACTGATGGTGTGGTGGTTAAAGTGCTGCACTGCTAACTGAAAGGCCAGTGGTTTGAACTCAACAGCCGTTCCTTAGCAGTAAGAGATGGCAGTCTGTTACAGGCGACAGCCTTGGAAAACCTATAAGGCAGTTCTGTGCTGTCCTATCGTGTCACTGCGAGTCAGAAACCACCGGCTGGCGACAGGGTTATCTCCAGTTATTTCCTAAATATAAATGAATATAAATATAAATATTTCCTAAATATAAATGAAATTGATGATATAGGGTATATACATACAGTTTGAAAAACAAACAAAAACAGGCTTGATTTTCTGCATGTGAGATTTGGGTAAAAGTTTAAAGAGCAATTGGTTTTCCATTCCACAGTTCAGACACAGTGTGTTTCGTGACAATGGCTGCAATCCCCACAATGGAACAGCACTCTTCCCAATTTCTCCCTGGGTTTACTATTTCTATCTCCCCTGTGTCTCTCACTGTGTCAGGTCCCTTCCTGCGCTCTGAGCTTTATCCCTGGGCAAAGAGCTGCCCTTTGGGTGTGTATGACTGACTGTTCTAATGAGTGCGCATCTCCCTGGTCTTATTGCTCATCTTGTAGGCCTATCATCTGGCTGAAAGTTAAGGCACTGGGGCAAGCTCAGGTCCTGGCTTGAAGCATGTCAAAGGGCCCGTATTCTCAGAGGTCCCACCACTCGCTATCAGGCAAGTAAGTGTAAGCCTGGTCTTCATGGTCCTGAGTTGTGTTCTGTATTTTTCATAAAAACTTTAAGAATTGCCCTTCCAGATATCAAATATGCTATTATTACAAATTAATCATTTACCAATAATTGAATAAACAGGACATGAAAATGGCAAGGTAGAAAAGTCAGAACCACTTGAATATAGAGAAGGATTTCAAATTTGAAAAGGCCAGGAGAGTTACCCCAAGAAATTGTGTTGCATCACGACAAGGCACCGCGCATTTGAGGATGGCAAGGGCGGTCCTTACAAGAAGTTCCTTGGGAGAGCTCACCCCATCCACCCTACTGCCTTGATTCTGTCCCTTCAGATTTCATTGTGTTCCCAAAAGTCAAAAGATCATTGAAGAGAATACACTCTGCGTCCCCCAAGGATGCCAAAATTGCCACTTTGATGTGGTGTTCATTGAAGAGGGCAGAACTGTTTAAGGAAGGGTTACAGAGATAGAGACCCTGCCTTCAGACAGTCATAGATGGAGGACACCTCAGGAAATCATAGCTTGGCAAAAATCTATTTGCATAGTACACTTGTGGGTTAAGCCTCCACTGAATTCCCTCTGACCACTGACCAGGGATATGAATAGTTTTGCTCTTAGAGTGCTATGCTCTATCCACTGAGCAGCCCTAGGAGGAGTAAGCTCCCTTAGAGAATTATCTGGGTGTGTCCTTGATGGAGATCCCTGTAAAGGGGATTGTTTAGACATAATCCACGCCCCGACTGCCTCAGAGAAGCCCCGGCTCCTCTGGCTACCATAATTTACATGGCCCAATCACAGTCTCCGTCCCGCTTCAGAAGTCCCACTTGTAACAGTGATGTGTCTGATCTGTCACCAGCCATGTTTCTGTGACAGTTTTCTTTGATGGTCTCTCTTATTCAGAGGACATGTCTCTGTAGTTGTCTTGTCCTGGTCCTGTTTAAGACTTGGTAAATGCTCTCTTTCAAAAGAAAGAAAGGAACAATAGCTTCACATTTTGATATTTTTGTTTAATACGGTTTTCTATGATATTGAAGCAATCATTTTTTATTTACTCTCATATACTAAATCTACAGGATCCCTGGTCGTATACTGGTTACAGCCTTTGCTGTTAACCATAGGGTTAGCAGTTCAAAACCACCAGCCAGCTTCAAGGGAGAAAGACTGGGCTTTCTACTCCAGTAGAGAGTCACAATCCCAGAAACTCACAGGGGCAGTTCTGCCCTGTATCCTATAGTCACTATGAGTTAGCATCGACTTCATGGCAGTGAATGAATGAGTGATACTAGATCTGATTGTTAAATCACTTCAAATTTGTCAGTGAAGCGCTATTACAGGAATCAGAAATGGATGAGAAAGCAGCTAATTTTGTTTTGCTGCTCTTAAAGATGGACTAGGTGCTAGACACTGTTGTCCCAGGGGCTGAGAAGCCTATAAACCAAACCAAACCCACTGCCACTGAGTCGATACCAGCTCTTAGGGGCCCTACAGGACAAGGGAAACCCCCTGTGCGTTTCTGAGCCTGGAAGTTTTACTGGAGTGGATATCCCAATATTTCTCCCATGGAGCAACTGGTGTTTTGAACTGCTCACCTTCCGGATCGCAGCGCAACAAATAACCACACCTGAGGCGCCTCAGGAGGGAAAGCCAGGCACCCATGGGTGCCTGGTACATTCACCCTTGCCTGAACCTGGAGAGGTGCCCACTGCTTACAGAACTCACCCCCCTACTCATGGACCTCTCTCATACCAAACCAAGCAAAAATCTTAGTCATGTTAATTGACAAGTATTTATAGCATAATATGTGATCAGTATGGTACCAAATCACTTAGATGAAATGTTTCTTAGATTAGAACACTTGTTTCATAAAAATCACTCCACTGTTGAATGACAGTGGAAATATCGTCAACCACGTGGGAATCTTTTTAATTTTTCTCGCTTTTCCTTAATTATGATTTCATTCACAAAAAAGTTATTGATGCAGGCTCACAAATACTAATTACCACATTATTGTAGCTCAAATATCAGAAAATTTTACAACATCGTTGACCAAAGAAGACTAGCTTCAGGAAAAAACCACGGCTCTGATAGCAATGCATGCGGCTGTAATCACGATCCTGTGTTGTTTTAATTGTGCAACAACGCCAGATCGAAGGATTGCGCACCAGAAGGTGCAAAATGGTAAATTAGCTAAGGTTTCAGTCTTTCGGGTATACTGATACATGCTGCCTGGGCTTACAAAAACTGGTTTGTTGCGATAAACTGCGGGGATATTTTTATCAAAACAAACCCCTGCAGGCAATCCCGGCGCCCGCGCCGGACAGTGTCACCCGAGTGGTCCGCGTCCTCCGGCGGCCGGGGCCCTCCGGTACCTGCTGTGTCCGTCTCTCCGATCCAAGTCATTTCTCCCGAGCGAGAGAAGGCGCTGAACCTCCCGCACGTTTCCCGACCAGGCCGCTTTGTGGATCTCTCCGAGGTCCTGCTCCCGGACCTGGTACCGCGGGTCCGGAGTGCCAGGGTTAGTGTCACCAAGCGCCAAGCCCCGCTGGCCCCACGGCTGGCTGCCGGCAGAGTCCAAGGGCGCCGCACACTTTCTCCTCTTCAAGCGGAAAAACTTGCGCACTGCCGTGGTGACCGGATTCATAGGGACTTCACCTCACGGTCGGCTTCCGACGGCCAAGTAAACCCAGCAACATAGCTGACAGGGACCCAACCTACTCGCCATCCCAGCCCTGCACCCCGAGAAAGCGCAGGCAACCGTGGCGCGAACCAGAACTGCGCGTGCGCACTTCATCGCAGCGCTGTCTGCGCACGCGCTAAGACGTCCGACACGCCCCCCGCCGGCCCGGTTGCCCAATGCGCGTGCGCAAGAGTCAACCCGCCCCGCCCCCAAATCAAGATCCTTGGGATTTGAGTGTTCCTATCGACTTGCGACAGCAGCACTGGTGTCTGTGGAAAGGCAGCTTTGCACAGGAGGTAGGGAGGCGTGGAACGCTGGGATCCTGAGACCTTGCCTCTACATAGCTCCGCTAACAAACTCGGAACCTCCTTCCCCGATTTCGCATCCCTCTGGGCCCCAGCCGGTCGCCAGGGAAACAGTGTACCTTCCAACATCAGACGACTAAGATGACGTCATACATTGTGACTGCATGTTACCAAGTGCAAATTTATTAGGAAAACCCAACGCCGTATTTCCACCGCATGCCCCCTTCCTACCCCGCCCATTCGCCCAGCCTTATGTTAACATTTTGCTTTCTCCCCACTCCTGCTCCTTACTTTTATTTTCTCCAATTAAATCTACAACCAATCCAAGATTTACTCTGGAGCTTGATGTCACGTTTAAGCACTTAAAAGAAAAAAGTTCATTGTGCCTAACAATCGGCTCACTTAGATTGCTTTCTCATAGGCTAAATTCGGAATGTGTCGGTGTCGTGGTTTCCCTGCTGTTCGTGCGTTAATACTGTACTATTTCCCCGGAGAGGAGCTGGGGGGTAGGGGGGTGTAGCGCTTATGAACTGGGCTGCAGTTAGCAAACTCAGCAGTTTAAAACCACCAGATCCTTATTCTTTTCCATATCTTGACAACATTCCCACTAGTTGAGGTGAATTTTTAATCACGATGTCCAATTGAAGAGAATTCTTAGTGAGATTTTTATTGCAATCGACTAAAGAGAACTTGTCTTAATTGGAGTCAATCTCTTGATCAAACTTTACACAAGGAGGCTTCCAAAAAATTCATGGAAAAATCCCCTTAGTTTTTAATCCTATTTTTCCGTGAACTTTTTGAAGCCTCCATGTAGTTGAGTCTCTTAATTTATTGAAATCTTATTTTATGTCCATTGTTAGCTTTTGTGGGAGAAAAGCGGGCCTTTCTACTCCTGGAATGACCTCGGAAACCTCACAGGAAATCCCTGAGCCTCCCGTTCATCCAATTGTCTCTAGTTTATCTTCTTCATCCATGTTCTCCTACCTCTGTCTCTGACCACCTGGTTCACAACTTCTGGCAGAGCTTTACAAAAACAACTAGTATCTCTGGTGTAGGGCCGGGGAGAGGGAACACTTTTTACATGCCTCAGGTCCGTGAATTGTGGCAAAAGTTTATGTGAAAGTCAAAAACCATTTCTGCAGAGTAGAAACGAGGAAGAAACACGAAGGATGCGTGCATATAAGTATAGATCTACCGGCTTAATACTTAAAATTCCAGCAAGAGAAGGAAATGGCGGAAAGACACATGGGTTTCCCTTGGCGCCCAGGTGATTCCTACCCGTGTGCTGTGCAACACTCTAGTTTAAATGCAGACAGGCATCTACACAAACTTGTTCGTTTTTGTTGCATTATTTGACAGGTTCACTAGGACAATGTGAAAGGCGATGCTTAGGGGGCACAGAGCTTCTGTTAAGGTGCTGTTTGCATAACGGGACGAGCGACGTTGATGTCACTGGTGTACCTTTGAAGATTGCTGCGATGGAAAATGCTTTACAACCTATCCATCTTTACGAAGAAAAATAACATTGGGGAAAGGAAAAAGAGAAGTAGAAAGGAGCTGGAAAATGGGGAAAAGCAGAACGATTTTTTTTTTCACCCTTTCTTAACTCCTGAAATCGTGCGGTTCATTATTTTAACTCCCCCCAGAGACCGAATTTCCTCGCGGTACACACATTCACTTTCAAGACCCCATAGGGAGCATCTTGCAGGCCACGGGCGGTGGGGGCTACCGGCGGGGCGGCAGCGCCATCTAGCG